GAGGTGTGCATCAGAGAAAGAATATTAACTTCTAAATTGGTTTATAGAGAAACATTGCAAAATTCCTTAGGTCATGATCATAAAAATGCAAGATAAGTTCATCTAGCTGTAGCTGAGCAAAGTTTAAACAAAGCAGGCCAGAGTGAGTCATGCAGGATAGCATGCCATTGCAAACAGACTTGCATGAAAGCTCTAATGCGTAGTTTAAACAAAGAAGTGTGCTATTTATCCTGGATTAAAGGAACTGAAATGCACTCTTGTATTGGTCACAAAGTGATTTAATATTTGCATCAGATGAAATTTCAAATGCCTGATATGAACAATTTCCTGTTCGTGTTAATCTGCTGTAGGATCCAGTAGGGTTCCAGTGATCTGTACGGTGCACCACATACTGAATGGAGCTTTCTGAGGGCTTCCTGGTGTTACCTGATCCCTTTTTCTTTATTCATGATTTAAGGGAGAATCCAAAGGCACGGAACCTGGTGGAAAGAAAAGATATTTTCTTTCAGAATTAAGCACATCAGCAGCACAAACGCACTCTGGTTCCTAAATAGCTGACAGTTGAAGCTATCATGTCCAATTTACAGAAATTAAAGGTACCTGAGATATGTTTTCACATACTTCAATTACATCTCCTCTGACAGTATGGCCATATGTTTGTGCACTTTTAATGTTCACACATATTTTAGTTTCTGCAACAGTTCCTAGTAACTACAACACTTTTTTGATTTTTAGTCCTTCAGGAATAAAGAGAATAATAAAAATCCACTTTTGGACAGTTGCAGGAGAAAAAAATTATAAACTTACTTGACAGTCAGTTTGCTATATCCTTTAATATACTGCGTTTGTCTCCTTTAAACTAGGAGATTTATAGAGGCTGATGGGAGAATCAGATTGAGAAATTAGCTTACACTTTAATGATTTTTCTACTGTACACGTTGGCTTCGTAAGAGATCATTAGAGGACCATCATGTTTGGGCTCAAGTCTTCTGTGAAAAAGAAAGGGAAGCACTTCAGATTGTGGCTGCAGAGCACTTACTACTCTAACAGTTAATCTGAGAGGGCCGTTTATGTTGAAATAAGAGAAAGACACAAAAACACACACGAAGTTTTGAGCTGAATTATCAGAATCCTGACTAATGTTTGGTAAATCATGAAAAGCACAACCATCTAGAAATGTACTGTAAACCGGTACGTTTAGGAATGCATATCACTAATAGATAAACAAGCACACCACATATACAGTCTCTGTTGACATTTTTTGACTTTTTTTTAGCAAGAAAACATGACTGACATCCATAATTTCTTTGAGCAAAACCTGTTGGACTTTACAAGCTGCTGCCTGCTTCAAACAGAGCAGCCTGTTCTTGGTATATAAAGAGTTTAGATGGTCAGTAAATGAAGGAAGGAGCAGAATGCTAAGTAGAAATACCATTAAAAGATCTGAGCATATGTATTTGATATAAATATCATAATTTTATAGAGGCATCTAGAGCAATATGCACCCCACTTCCTTTAGTTACTTGACAAGTGAACACCAAGTAGTCAACTGAATACTGAACAGAATTTTATATTCATTATTGTAGATTTATTAAAATAGACCAGTTGGAGTGAGTCTTTTCAGGTTCTTTATACTTATTCCAGTAAAATGGATGTTTTTTGCAAAATAAACAGGCTAAAGATTTGCCTTTTGTATTGCGTCCTGTGAAGGAAGAACCATGCAAATATCCTTTTTAAAGAATCCCATTCAGAGTGGATCTGTTTTCATTTACAGTGCTATTTACATGGTTGAAGTGTATGTTCTCAATTATCTAATGCCAAAAATCTAGATGTTTTAACTGTTGCTCATTTCATTGTGTTCCTTACTGAAACAGTTTGTCTCCATAGTAGCTTTGCATTTTCTGTCTCCATTTTTGTTTACCTTATAAGAAGCTGGAGGATTTTTAGTAAATTGATCATTATGTCAATATTAGGGTGGGAAAAATTAGTTATCATAGAGAATTCCAATTATGCAGAATCACAGTTCAAATCAACTGTGTACATCTGTGCCAGTTCTTCATATTTGAAATATTTTCATATTTTTTCATATTTCTCAAATTCATTTTGAGAATGGTAAATATATATGGGAGAGGATGGATTAGCCTATCTTTGTTGATAGAATATGGCTCCTGATAAGCTTTTGATTCTTTGTAAAAGGTTTATTTTGCAGCCTCACAATCATACAGTATGGATTCCCACTGGTGTATTAAATCAGTTTCATATCTGATGTGTATACCAATGACAACTCCTACTTAAAAAAATCTTAGTCCTCCCAAATACCTATCACTAATAAAAATGTCTAAATTCTTAAATAATGTTTTTCAGTATGGCAAGGGAATTTATAGATTTTATTTATAAAGAGTAAAAAAAAAAATAATAATAATGTACTGAGGTTTTTCAGAAAGAAAAGCTTAATGCAGAAGTTAGATATTTCTCTTGCCTAAATGAACTTAATTGTGTGTCTTTCTACTAACCAACTCTTTTGCAGAAAACAAAAGACATCCACTACGTTGGCTTTACTTTCTCAGTGCATGAAAAAAATGGGTGTTTAAAAAAACATGAAAAGTGAATACAATGGTTACTAAAACAAACAGAGGAAGTTATAAATCTTCAAATCATATACAGGACAGATTGGAACATTATAAGTTCCAATATAAACTCTTCAAGTTTTCTTAAATAATATACCTAATAACTCTCTATGGGCAAGAAGGAAATCTGTTTTCAATTTCTTTTACTTCTAAGCAAAAATATGACTTATGTTAAAGGAGCATTTTTTTTTGATGGGAGTTTTCAACCAAAAATTAATGCAAGTATCTTGTCAGAAAATATTATTTGAAATCCAGGAGGTTTTGTTGCAGTCACTGTTCAGGACATTGCCATGCACTGTATAAGAATAGCAAAGAAGAGGAGATTGTGTCCAGCTCCAAATCGGAGTATAAAAGAAACCACAGTGCAGATGCCTTTTAACACTCCAAAAACAATTAGTCCTGATACCCAAATGCAAGAGTTTTTGGCAGCCAAATTTTTTTTTTTCCCTGGAGCAGATTGCTGTGAGTCCCTACTCAGGGAGCATCATAACAGGATTGTACCAAATGCGTCTGCTTGTAGCAGGAGCTTTTTGTAGCAAATACCCTCTGGAGGTATCTGAGGGCATGAATTACCTTGTAATCTTTTGATACTCTGATTGATAATTTCTTCTGCTATACAATGTTTTGGGTTGCACAGCCATACTTTTAAAACGTGGACTCTAATTAATGACAGAGAAGTACCCACATGAAGTGAAATCAGCCAGGGAGGTAATAAATTTTCTCCATAGGAATGCAGTGTATCAGGAGAGCATTCAGTAAGAGACCTAGCTAAAGATAAAAGCACTGAATCTATACAAAGAACCTCCCCTACAATCAGGAATTATTTCTGCTATCAAAAGCTATAAGCTATCCAGATGCAAAGTTCAATTTCTTAATTAGTAATAGATGGAGACATTTGAAGAAAATAATACCCACAGTTTAAAATCAGTTTAAAATTAATTTTTCATCTTGGAAAACATGCACAGACAGTATAAGGAATACAAATTATTATTTTCAGCTGCTATTTATAATTTCCCTGGGACTTGGTGAGTTTTTGATGCTATATGGGTTTATAGCTGGGAAAAGTCTGGGATACCACCAGACAGAAAGAACTTGCCTATATGTTAGTGTAATGTGGTGTACCAAACAGTCTGTTCAGAGTTCACATCAAGTAAACTACTAAGGTTTTGAGTATCTCTTCAGAATCTGAAGCTTCCTGAGGTTTTCCATTGCTGCTTTATGTGTAACAATGCCCTAAGTCACGCCTGCACACCTCTGGTGGCTCAGGCAGGTGAGCAGCAGGGAAGCAGGGGCAGAGTCCTGCTGGAGGGGGCACTTCATGGTGCTCCCCTGTGCCCAGCGTGCTGCAAACCCTGCCAGGCTGCCAAGCTCCCAGAGGAACCTCCAGAGCACCCCTTGGCCAAAGGAGAAAGGCTGACCTGATTTATTTTGTGTCGTTTTCTGATACTGTGCTTGCCATCTCATAAAACAGAAAAGCTTTCACTTGTGTTTTTGTGATTTTTGTGTTTGCAGTCCAATGACGTTTACTGCACCTAAAACTTATGTTTAAAAGAAAAAAAAAGGCAAAGCAGAAACTATGAATAGCAAGTTTAGCAATAAATATTCATGTATCAAGTCCTATGTTAAATACAAACTAGCATGGCCAGAGTCTCTTGTAAACTTCTATTTCTTGCCTGTTAAATCAAGTGAAACAATTGAAATTTTAGATTGTTGCTATTTCTAAAGTTGCATTTGGGTCCTGGTGATGTCTAAGTACTCATGTAAAAGGAGTTATCATATTTCAAAATAAATGTTTAACACCCTCTACTCTGCCAAAAAAGTGATAATAGTAAACAATGACTTTTTGTTGTAAAGTACTCTCCCTCTAGGATTTATGGTAGGAAAAAGATTTCTTGCCACTTGTGGCCTGTAATTGGAAAGCTTTGCACTACCTTCCTTGGCATACAAGTTTGCTTCAACTATAGAAAAATATTGAATCATTTTAGGGAGATTGGCTGTCATAACCTAAAAATTTAAAGAGTAAATCTCATTAGAGGAGTTAAAAATATTAAGATGTGTAAAATGAGGAAATATGACTTTGAAAGGGAATGGTTAATACAGTGCATAAACATATATATAACTGATCCTACTTATTGTTAAATGTGTTATACAACCTGGGCAAATGGCTTTACAGGTGGTGATGTGTACATGGATGTATTTGCAGTTGCAAAAACCTTTTGTAATTTTTATTTTTCTTCTCTGACTTCGTGGAATAGGATCTAGAGAAACATCAAGAAGAGACTAATGCTCTTTTTTCTCAATACGTTATCATTTCCATTTCTGCTTGCTTGTTTTACCTTCTTTGCAAGATTAACTCTGATTTTTCTGTAACAGGCACATAGTTGTCTGTGGTCACATAACACTTGAAAGTGTGTCGAACTTCCTGAAGGACTTCCTGCACAAGGATAGGGATGATGTCAATGTAGAAATCGTCTTTCTGCATAAGTGAGTAATCTTTCAACGTTGGTCTTATCATCTCTTACTAAAACTCATTAGGTTAACCTGTGTCTTCTGGGAAGACAGAGAATATTTAGAGTTCCAAATAACCATAAGATTAATATTTGCAATTATGTTTATTAAAAATATGTCTCAAGAAAATTATTTTTTCCATGCATTTTCCATAACCCTGTACTAAACATATTTGTTTCAAGCAGATAGACTTCAGACCCAGTTGTGTTGTCTGTGAGCTACATAGCTAAATGTATAGTTGAAGTAGGGTTCAGGTTATAAAATAAAAAATATTGAAATGGAAATAAATACATCCAAGATTGTTTTAGCGGTAAATATTCCTAGGGAAACTGCCAAAATACTGATAGTTATATCAGTAAAACTAATGAAAAACACTGTATGTTGTACAAACTTATGGTATCTGAAAACAGCTTTTCACCCTGGATCTTTATAGGAAAGTGCTTATTTTAAAGTCCAGAGTATTTATAGAATGAAAAATGCAGGTGCAGATTCAGTTTTAATATAACAGATACTCTACACATGTATTGACAATAGAAACTAAATTCTTGTCATGGTGATAATCAGTACTGCTCTTTATTCCATTAATATACACATACCAACACACACATAGTATCTTCCCTCTTTCTTATGTGGAATTTGGAAAGGTGTCTTAATGAGGTTGATGTTTCTTTCATGCTCTACACAATGTGTAAGTCAATAATAATTTAATAACTATTACAATGCCAAATAGCTACGCCTGGGAGGAACTGCTTGAAAAAGCCACATGATAGGAGACAGTATCTTTTCTGTTCTGTAATGGTGTCTGTTTAGAAGAGTTGCAACTTATAAATGTTATATTTTTGGATTCAGCAATGCATTCTGCACTTGTTGTCAAAGAAAATAATTAAAAAGTTAAGGACGTAATTTGTCATGATTTAACAGTGAAAGCTGAAAACTAAGCATCAGCAGTACGTCCACATTTTTTCATGTAGTCGTTTCAATTTGAACTAGAGATGACATCCTCAAGTAACTGCCTTATTTTATTTTATTTTATTTCCTCTCCATGCAACAGCAAGTGATTGTGAGAGGAAATCAGGGATCAAGTTTTCCACAGTGAAAATGTGTGGTGATAGGAATCAGGAAACTGCACATTCACATGAAATGAGTTTAGCACCTTGCTGCTTGTTTGTGCCTGTAGCTATTAAATTCCTTCTGTTTTAATGATTGGCACTAGAAAAAATATTTACAAGATTGGTGCCATGTTATGTAATTGACTATAATCAATTTAATTTTTCTTTTGTTTCTGGCAAAATAAAATGAGACAGCAAGTCATGGCATCATTATGTTTGTTTTAATTGTAGCTCATAGAGGCCTCAGGGTCCCTGTCTGGTATCTTTTTCTGATTTTTAGAGATCTTGCATTGAGTTGTTCTATTCAACACAGCTGTTGTGGGAATGGTAGGGACATGCAAAGGAAGATTGTGGTACTATATAATTTCTGGGTAGAATGCTGGGAGAGAGTGTTTACAAATGCTTGCACCCATACTTCTGGATTCATGTCCCTTGGAAGTGTACATGCAGCGAACGTGGGGAGTAGCATGAGGTGGGCCAGGAGCACTGCAGAGACCAGTAAGACAGTGAAAGCAATTTAGTGTTTGTCTTTAAAGTAAGGCACACTGTTTCCATGCCACAGAAAAAGCATCAGCAGAGTCTGAATATCTAAAATAAATAAATAGGTGGGTTTGTAAATGCAGGAAATGGAGCAGTTATGGAAATTGACCTCTCATTTGCTCTTGTCTTTTCTTCTTTCCACTGCAGTATCTCCCCTAACCTTGAGCTGGAAGCTCTTTTTAAACGACACTTCACTCAGGTGGAATTTTATCAGGGTTCAGTCCTTAATCCCCATGACCTGGCGAGAGTGAAGGTAACAGCTCTGTTGTTCTGTTCTGCTAATTAACCTTTTTCTAATACTCCTTGAATTATTTGGGGAAAAAACCAGACACTAAAGCCCTTCTTCATGTAACCCCAAAAGAATGTTTTTCCATTTCTATTATCTTAAGTAGCTATACTGGTAAACCTTTTTTCCCCATATCTTGAGATCTTCAAAGCTAGCAACAGTGACTTAAGATACATTGTCTGCCATTCCATTGAACATTTTATGAGTTTTTCATTGATGTTTCATTCAAAAGTGTATTTTACATTAATATTTGATATTGCAAGATATTGTCTTACAGTAATGTGCTGTTGTCTTAACTTCTCAGAACAATTTAAAAAGATTTTTTTCACCCTCAAAACCCTTTTTCTGTTGTCTAGAATTCAGAAAGAAAAATGCAAGTTAAGATTTTTGGTAGATAAAGTTAGTTTTACTTATTTAGATATTTATTTTCTAGAATTTCTAAATTGTAAATTATTATTTTATTATTATAAATTATGCTTTAAAAAAACAAAAATTAAAGAAAAATCAGGTTGTCAGATACATCATTAACTTTTTCATTTCTTTTTCTTTTTTTCCCAATGGAATGCAGCTGGCTACTTAAGTCAAGAATATTTTATTAGTACTGTGTAATTTACACTTTCTGGAATACTAATCATGTCTTTTGTCCATTTTGACTGCAGAAATTGCTTAAGATTTTTTTAGGCTAATGCACACTGTTTCAGTTCATCAGAGCATGTCCTAATTATGATCATAAAATCATGTGTTCTTATTTTGTGTTCTGTATTCCACCCTTCTTTGTGTTGATATTTGGTTGTATACACTGGTAAATACTTTTGTCATCTGCTTTGAGTTCTGTAAAGCTCAGGTTTGTGTGAATCTAGAGCTGTGGATAGATCAGTTGGCCTCCTCTTGCTTTCTAAATCCAGTGCTCAGATTCTAAATCAGTTCAGCCACCTCTTTCTGTCTTAAACAGGAAGGTACTTAAATTCCAAACAAAGCTGCAGGACTTGTGGGAGCACTGTACTGATGCAACAGGAACTTCTGATGGATTTAAAAGTCTAAATTCCAGTATCTGGTTACAAAAGATTAACATTAGCACCTTTGTGGCTCAGCTGATCCGGAGTAAGAGTTGTCAGTGGAACTGCTGACCTGCTCTGATCACCATAAGCAAGTTTCAAGAAATTCTCTGTGTGCACGAGAATGGTCGTAATCACTGTCATGAACTCCTATTAGCCTAGAAACATTTTTGATTAGCAATATTGAGAACTGGCACTCGCACTCATGAAGCCAGCGCTGGATTCCCTGATAGTTTATGAGAAAGGAAGAGCTGGAAAGAGATGTTGCTTTATATGTTTCCTTTTTCTTTGGTGTCTCAGATAGAGTCAGCAGATGCGTGCCTAATCCTTGCCAATAAATACTGCGCTGACCCAGATGCTGAAGATGCCTCCAATATTATGAGGTAAACTCTGCAGTTTTTAATAGCTTTTTGGTCCTTAACTCTGGTTAGCTAATTTTATATCTGATCTGTTGCACTCAAAGAACACTGTAGGATTTTTTTCTTGAGGACAAAATAAAAGATCCTCACCAAAATCCAGAGGTGAAAATGCCTTAAATTCCTACCTCCTCTGTTTCCTCTGTCTATTTTGTGTGTCAGAAGAGACCCTTGGAACAGAGGCTTTAATGCTCAGTAGTTTTGCAGGAGCTAGGGTTTGAGTATTCCTAGCTGAACGCAGAGAGGAAGGGAATGCAGTCAGGTTGTTGCAACAATGCATGCATGAGTGCATGCACTGCAGGGGCTGTGCCAACGATGGGGCAGAAGCACCTTCAGAGCTTCATTCCTGCTGCTCCTGCAGGTAGTGCACTGCTCAGGGGATAGCAAAGATACAGGGCAGTTTCTCCTGTCCCCATCCTGCTTTTTTTACACTGAGGACCAATCATTGCTTGTTTTGATTGACAAGGCATTTGCAGCTTTAGGGACCACCAGATCTCCTCCTGCTTTCCTCCTTGTAGTCTATGAAGGGAGGAGATGGAACAGTCAGTCAGTAGATGGCAGCTAGAGTTACAACAAACCTATGCCATTCCATTTTTTGTTTTGTTCATACAATCCTAGTTTTAATGAGACCAGTCTCCTTTTTAAAATTAAAATCTCAGTCAGTGATTGATTAAAAGTTCTCTAGTATTGTTCTCTAGATTTTACTGGCTTGTCAGATGTTTGTATGCTGTGTATTGAAGCAAAGGGAGAAATAAAAAAATGCTACTAAAGTTGCTCTTCTGGAAAACTACTACTGTGTGCAAGAGAAAGACACAAAAAATACCTAGTTTCATTTTGCAAACATGGTTTGAGTTGCAATGCAATAAACTTTTTTTTTTTGACATTGATTGCAAAATACATTAAAAATATTCTAGTCACAAATTGATGCATTCTTAGTAGATTTAATACATTTAATGTAATAAAATGCAAAACTTTTAATGTGAGAGTGGAATTCTCTTGTGTTTTATCACAATTTAATTTTAAAAAATTGAATGCTTAAACAATTCAGCAAGAAATGGAAAATTAGAAGAAAGACTTGTTAAATGAATGCAATATTTTACTTTTCCTGTTCTAGCTTTGATATGCTTAAAAGCACAAGCCAGACCAGTAGTTTACAAGATACATTCTACAAAACACTTATGACATTCAGTCTTATGAAACTGATGATTCCGTAATAAGTCAGATTTTTTTTTTCATTGTTTTATCTTCTTTTTCTACCTTTAGGTTTTAAATACGGGACTTTTTTTTTGGTTTTTGGTTGTTCATCTCTTTAATTTTGTTCAGTACTTTTTTTATAGTACAATATCAATCCATGCATTTCTCAAACAATTTTCTTTCAAGCCACTTAAAATCTATACACAGTTGAGTATATCTTGGATTAATTAAGTAATGTAGATTGCAGAAAATATGCAGATTATGCAAGTAGCCCCATGTTTTATAGATTCTGCATTCAGTTATCAGTTTTATATTGGTCTTTAGATTAATCCATCAAAATTAATAAATTTGCATGTGTAACACAAAATCATTATTCAAGGTATTTAGATATGACGAATATCTACCAGCTATAAAGAAATAATATGTGATGGGGTAGAAATTAATTTCTTCAGGCATTTATCATTGGGAACTTGATCAAGTATGTTGATTCAAAGGCACGAAGATAGTCCCTGAGGATGAGAAGGATGTAAAAGTTCCCACTACATTATTTTCCTAATGGAATGAGTATCTGAATAGTGCTCCTAAGTCGCTTTTTCTGCAAACTCCACAAGGGCAAACTGTTCAACTGAATGTTTATAGAGGCTTATTGCTCTGTAGTACCAGCCACTAATTTTTAACCTCAGTTTGACTATGTGTAAATATTGCAAAGGTCTGACATCAATCAGTTTGCTTTGCAGGCAGATGAATAAGGGGGTACACTTTTAATTGTGGGACTTGACAATGCAGTAAAATAGAGGTATTTGGATGCATTATCTAAATAACCTATCAGTTAAAAGTTATTTTAATTGGTTCTTCCTTTTCTTTTTAGAGTTATTTCCATAAAGAATTATCATCCGAAGATAAGAATAATCACTCAGATGTTGCAGTACCACAATAAGGTAATATGATGGCCAGTGTTTCTTCTCAGAGTTTTTTTGCTGTATTGCATTCACTCATACATCATTTTTCTAGTCCCAGTAACAGCAAGCATTTTCTTTCAAAAGTAAAACATCTTAATAAACCTTGTCACGTAATCCAGTTACAAAGTATTTTAGTTTTATTTGTATATGCAAGGGACTTTATCAAAATCTTGACATTTATGAGTTGCCTAGGATCTAATTCTCAAAGCTAGTGTCCATGGCTGATACTGATTCCAGATGACTTTTCACCACCTCAGTTCTCTAAGTTCTGCTCTTATTGTCTTACTGGAGGTTATTGTCATTTTTTTTATTCCAGCATGACCATGTACACGTGAAATTGCCAAGCAGTAGGTACAAAATAGATAAATTTGTGGTTTTTAATATAAAACATAGCCCAGTTGTGAGATTTAGTACTGAGAATGTTGTGAAGTTCAAGATGATAAATCCACTTTGGAAAGAAATTTGAAAAAAATTTTTATGGTAAATTTGTGACCCTTAAACACAGTGAAGTCAATTTATTCAATCCTGAGATGAGGAAGTCCATAAACTGCTGACTAACAAGGTTAGGAAGGATATATCAGGTAACACAGTACTCATGTGTGGCCTGCTTCTTTTATTAGCTCTGAAAGAATCAATCACTGCCCAGTTTGAGAAAAAGCATGACTGGGTAAACCTTCATTTGATGAAATACACAATAAATCTGGCACTAAGGTGGTTTGATAATAACTCCTTAAACCTGTAACCTGTTGCTAGAACAAGAGCAACTACTGTTGATTGTTGTGTGCTCTTCCTGCATGTTATGGAAGAAGCCTGTCTTTTTATAGAATAAAAGCAAGGAGTTTCTCTACTTTAAACAGTCACAGAGAGGAAGGGGTCTTTTTAAATACTGCAGTTTGTTTGCTATTCTGATGGTTGTGTCTTCAAGAATAGCATTTATCAAAGTGCTGAGCTGTGGAATTAACTTAGGAAGGGGAACAAGGAGGAAAAACTCTGTGCTTCCTGGTGTCTACACAAACATGGACACACAGGTGTCTATGTTTCTCATGTCAGAGAAAATCCAACAATTATGCCAGGAACTGAACAGTATTTGTCTTTATCTAAGTTATCAGTTTCAATACTACAGGTATGTCTTGCTGAGTTGTTTTCTTCATTCTGTCCTTATAAATAGCATTCTTAGAAAAAAAGGGTTGGTTTTTCACTGTCAGAAAGGGGTTGGTTGTTCACAAGTGCTGTTCTTCAAGGTGGGAGAAATGAAATAGAAAAGACAGATGATGTTGTATGCATTTTAAAATTCTAGTATCCTTTAAAGGTTGCAGCTTCACATAAGTTGAAATCTAAGTTTTATTAGCTTCCTGTGTATCATGTGTGTTCCTCATCAGTCAGATGGCAGCTCAAAGTGCTGTAAAAGGAACATGCAGAAGGGAAGGAAAGCCTTACAACTTTCTGCTTGTTCACGTGTGAGCATGAACCTGACAGAGTGCCACAGCCAGCATGTCTTCAGTAGTGTAGCATTTTATCTGTAGTAGGTAAGAGTGGAAAATTTCTCAGCATAGAATTAAGCTCTGAAACACTTGAAGTGCTTCTGCCTACTGAGAAAAAATCAAGGCATTAATAGAGAAAATAATTCAGAACTGTCTTCTGTTTCTGGTTCTTCACCTGTGGGATATTTTGTTTGTTTTCCAGGCCCATCTACTAAATATCCCAAGCTGGAACTGGAAAGAAGGGGATGATGCAATCTGTCTTGCTGAGCTGAAGCTGGGTTTCATAGCCCAGAGCTGCCTGGCACCGGGCCTTTCCACAATGTTAGCCAACCTCTTCTCTATGAGGTCCTTCATAAAGGTAATGCCTTTCTCATTAGAACATATTAGTCTGCAGTTCAGCTTGTCAGAGACTGGAGTAGAGAACATCACTCGAATGTGAAACAGATAGAAAGACAATAACAGATTTTGTAACACCAAACAACCAGCCCACTGTTCCTTGCAAATTTTTTGCTGAAAACTGGGCAATAAACTAGGTTCTATCAACTTGTGTTTTTTTTTTTTTTTTTAATTTTTATTCAGCAAGTGTCTGGCCTTTAAAATATTTTCCAAATCATTATCTATTTCCAGGGAGATATTTTTGGCATTTTGTGTTTTTGCTTGATTTTAGCCAAACCACATGTTTGTCTATTAGAAAAGTTGCTGCTGCTAAAACAAAAATATGATGTATCTAAGTGCCATGTAGCAACAAATTGCCAAGAAAAAGGGACTGGTCATTTTCGTCTTTGACATCAAAAGACTACTGGACCTCTGACTGTGAGTAAATAAGGAACATGTGTTAGAACTGAGGCCCAAACTTCCCACAACATCATTCATGTGTTTGCTTCTCCTCAGTCTAAGAGCTATTTTGGACTTAGATTGCAAAATTATAACCCATTTAGATTTCTGTGCAGCTGTACTGGTTCACTGGACCAAGGCCTCAATTGCAGTAATCATTGCATCCTTCCTGGTGCATTTCAGGGACACTGATTCCAAATACAAGGGTGGGCAGTTTCCAATCTGATGAATGTTCTTAGTGGGATGGGAAACACTGGAGTGAAAGGAAGGCCATGGTCCACTCCAGCTCCATTGTGCAAGTAAGCTAAAAATGAGAATATCCTCATGTCCTCAGATGAGAAAGCCAGGACTGTTCTCTTAGAGGCGCATATGTTGGTGCACGACAGTGAATCTTTATTGGCTTCTTAAAAAGTCCTGACATTATTATGAAAGTATCCTTAGAAGACAGCAGGCTCCCATGAAAAAATATTTCAAACTATTATATTTAATTAAAAAGACCAGTTTTCAATATGGAAGCAGGTCTGGGCTCTGCACTTTACTGCCTGCAGTTACAATATCTTCATCTTTATTTACATTCTAAAAAAACCCAACTGAAGGAAACAAGCAAACAAAAAAGTTGTTTTACTTCAGCAAGCCTGGAATCTGTCTGTGACTCTACAACATATTTCCAATTTGATATTAATCCTTTCTATCTGTATCCTAGAAGAAAACTGTGAGCATCATTCTCCTTGTCAGTCAGTTTGGTCTCTCTCACTCCTGGATGCTCTGGTAACCCAAGACTCTGAGGAGTGTCAAACATTTGTGACAGTCTCACTAATGTATGCAAATTACTGAGGCAGCCTCTTGCATGAACTCGGGCTCTGCAGCAGAGTTCATGTGAAAAGTTTGCTCACCTTTTGCCTTTCCAAAATCAGGAGGGGTTAGTTTTCTCCTAAGGAGATCCAAATATATTGGTATCCTCAGAAGCCTCAGTCCTAATTCATTTTAATATATTATATATAATATATATATCATATGTTTATATATATATATATATATATATATTTAATAGTCTTTATTTTAATAGTGATTTTTAAAATCAGTGAGAAAGTGGAGAGATTCACAAAATTATAAAGTGTACAAATGTCTGACTGTGGGGGAACTGTACTAGAAATACACACTTTTATGGCCTGGATTTTTATCTAAAAACATTTAAAGAAGTCAAAACCTGGATATGTACAGGTATCATGTTTCCAGAAGTTATATAACCACTTCTGCTATTATCTTAGCCAGCTATGTTTTCTTATTTTATAATACATTTTTATAGTAGTTCCAGTACAGTTACAGATTAGATCTCATTGATGAACAGTTCTAAGCTGAAGGCTCAGCTTTGCAAGGCGTTACTCAAAGTACATTTAAGTATTTCTCTGTATACAGAATAAGCATAAAAATAACAATAAATTTGATTTGGGGGAAGCTGTCATTGTCAATTTTGCTCTTGTGTCTGATTATATAGTTTTAAACAGAGTAGTGTGCAGACATTCCTTAAATTGTGTGACTACAAGTGTCACCTTCACATGTCACTTGGAGGAAAAAATGCCATAAGAGAGCACATTAAGATTGCAATACTCTGTTAATACTGCTTAAAAATATATTTGCCATATAATTAAGAGTGAATTTTCTAGGCAAGTAAAATGCACATTTTCACTTCTGAAGATCTCTGACTAATTCAAAATGTGAAGCTGTATAAAAGTGCAAGAATTGAGACACATTTCTTTATGTGACTCTAACCCTATTGGTGATAACAAAAGGTTTGTTTATTTAGCTGAAAGGATGATCTTTCTCATGTCTGTCTCACTCTCTAAACACTTGAAAAAGAAAACTTACTAAATAGTGGCTGTGAATCATCAGTGCATTGTAGGAGAGCAGCTACATTGATTAGGAATGCTGAAGAGGACTCTATTGAAGAGAAATATGTCCATTCCCTAAAATAACTTTCACCCCTTTTCATTAAGAACATTCAATTTAAGTACTGTCAGACCTTCATAAATTCCTTAGGTAAACATTATTAGTGGAGTCTCTCACCAGTCAGGAGATTGCCAGGAAAATGTATGGAAACTTCTGTATTTTTTAATGAAAGCTTGAAATGTGGGTTTGTTCCGCCTCTATAGCGTGATTAGAAAGTGATTTAATGTGCCATAAATGTTTGGTCAGTCAAACACAAATGAACATGATTGATGGTGACATTGCACACATTTAACTCATTATGGGTTACTTTACAGCAAAATTATTTGTGTAAACAGTCTGCTCAGTGTTAGAAGTAAAACAAACTAAGAAACCTCAAAATATTATATTTGTTCCTAATATTTTTCTTTTGGTTTTAGCAATATAATATCATATGGAATCCCTTATATTCTTTTTTGGCACCAAACTGAACAAAAAGGAAGTCAGCTCTAAAAGATAAATATTCTGTAAACACTTAAAGAAAGATAGATTGCACCAAACCATGTGATAAGGGGAAAAAACCCCCCAAAACATTACACCTGTAAACTGTATTTTAATAATCCAGTCTTCTTATCACATAGACTGTTACTGTTGTATTAAAAAAGGAATTTGGACTCTTTATTAACTTGCACAGTTGCAGAAAAAGATGGAAATACTGTACTGCAAGTTCTGTATTGTTTGAATTAGCAAGTGCATACCAGAAGTCTATCTGTATGAAAAACATTGCAAAAACCAGATACATGGAGTAATAGGCAGAAGTGATTAAATTTTGTACAGGCCAATCCTACAGGCCCGTGTACAACCTAAAAGCCAAGTTAGTAGTGTTGTGTAAATTAATAAAATGTGGAATGTGGTACTCGAGTGTAACACAAGTCCACAGCCAAATTAGTTTTGTCTTTGCTCTATAGGTGAGGCAGCCCATGCACCTCATTCCAAATGTCAGAATTATCTAGAGCTGTCTCTTATCCTCTAAACTATTTTGAGGGCAGGAGTGTTTTGTGGGCTCTTTCAGCAGCTTTTGCTCACACCTACACATATGCAATGCCCACTTGACATTCCTTTCTTGTCCAGGCTGAAAGAGAGACATAATAAAACCTCACAGATCACAGATTCATATCATTTGGATGCTTACCTACACTGATGGAACACATCAACTTGTTTGCTCTTTATTTTTGACCACCTAGGCAGCCTTGGAATATTTCTAAGTGTAGAACTGGAGAATGAACAGTGAATTCCTTGACATGTGGGAGGGCTTTAAAAGGGGGAGTGAGAAGGAAATGCAATGTTTCAATTTATTGTGAGGTTCTTCAGGATGTTGCATAATAAACTGATTGCATGATCCTACTCACAAGGACCTGGATCAAATATTAAATGTAGCCCATTACCAAATGCATTTATCTTCAGAGATCATGTAAAGATCTTCCTAAGTGTAGTGTTTTTAAATCATTGATTCTAGGAATTAAAATCTTTGCTGTGTATACATAGTATCAGTCCTTGTGATAAGAGTGTATTTGTCTTGGGCTAAAGTCTACCATGGGACTGCATTTTCAGTCAATCATTTGAACAGATCAACACCTGTCTATCCTTTGCCTCATGATTGGATACAAATCTTGTCCTGTTTTGTGTATTTGAAACTATTGGATGTAGAGCCTGTATGCCTTTCAGTTCAATTCCAACAAGGCCAGAATCTAAAAGAGTAACATGTCATTCTATTTCAAGCATGCTCTCTCTGCCTTGACCCACTACAAAATTCTACATTAGTATTGATGGGGAAAAGTGCATAAATCTCGTTTGAAATTAGAACTAATCTCAATCAGTATATTTGATGTTTTATAAAATATAGTCTTTTTATACAAATTTTAAAAATCATCAGTGCATACAGAAAGCTGTGGAAATAGTTGACTGAGATTGTAAAGTGTTCACAGTATGAAGGATATTTGTTAGCTTTGATTTCAATGGACAATGGAATTGAGTAAAGAAGTAGTTGATAATTTATAATAATTAAGGAAATGCAATTATGAGACTGTAAATCTATGAAGCTTAACTCTATAATATGACCATAAGAACTGCTTTCAACCAGTTACTTCTCTGTCAGATTTAGATATCCATATGCAAAGGCATAAAAAAACTAGACATTCACTCAAGCAGTTTGTGTGGGATGGAAGGGCATTATGGGTGAATGGGAGGAAATATTTTAGCTACATTGCTTTCACTGTACGCATTCTTTTCAACTACCATTCAAGAATATTCAAGGCCATATTCAGTTTAGACAAGGGATTACGGCTTTAACCTGGCACAGGACAGGATTGGATTAGGAATTAGGATGAAATTGTTTACTGTGAGGGTGGTGAGGCACCGGAACAGGTTGCCCAGAGAAGTTGTGGTTGCCTCACACCTGGGAGTGTCCAAGGCCAGTTGGATGGGGCTCTGCACAACCTGCTCTAGTGGAAGGGGTCCCTGCCTACAGTGGGGGAGGTGGAGTGAAATGGTCTTTAAGGTCCCTTCCAACCCAAACCATTCTATGGTTCTCTGGGTACTTCCTTTTCAATCTCATCTATATTGTTCAAGATAGAGAATTGTAACATTAAACATCCTCAAAGACTTGGTCCTGTTTTGTGCACTTTCCATGGTGGTGAAGAGCTGATCTTATTCAATGCTAAGGAGCAGACTTTGCATCTCCTTTCACTGTGCTGTAAAGGAGCTGGATATCCACCATCCTTTGCCTTGCAAATAGCAATGAATAATCTAGGTCACAATGCAACTCTAGCATTTGTTCTCTGTCTTGATAGTGATGCTTAGATCTTGGCAGAAGAGATTATATAGCATGAGCAGGTTCAGATACACTCAGTCTTTCATGTACCCATCATTACACTGAAGAGCAAATGCTATGAGCAAGAGTTCTTTTGGAGCTACAGAGCTCCTGATAATTACACTGCTGCGTGTATTAGAGGTTTTAATTTTCTTCTGACAATACTAATGGCTGTGCTTGCAAGAGCTACATCACTTTTTCATATCTCTGTCACCATGTCTCACTAGGAATTATTTTATGTAAATATATTTGCTGGTAACAAAATTGTATCTCTATATAACATAGAGGAGAGCAGAATAGTATTGTGACTTAAAAAAAGATTCATATGAAAATTACATTTCTTCTTTTGGATTGCACTATGTAATTTTCCAGCTATTCTTCGTATTGAAGAAATGGCTAATTGAAGCAGTGGCTAATTTGTTTTGTGACTATCAGGAGACAGAATTGCAGTGCAACTTAGTCAGGGAGAGATAATAATATTTGCAGTACTAGAGAGGAATCAGAAAGATGCAGGTTGAAGTTGTTTTGGTAGTATGGCCCATTCTGGATAGGTTCCATCAGTTACCTAAACTTTAAAATATCATCACAAAGGCTTAAGTGAAGAGCATAATGACTCCCAAAGTATTTTTCCTCACAAAAGATGCCAGGCAGGTGACCATCTGTCTCTTTGAAATCACTGGGAAAATGTCATGGTTCAGGTGGAGATAAAACAGAAAGATCATCTTTAGTCAACTGTTGCAATCATCTTATAATAATATTTTATAGCATCCCAAATATTAGCAACTCTTCTAATTCTATAATCAACATTTTGTGGTATTCTAACAGATCATATCTTAAATACTCCAATCACTTAATGAAGTTTAATGTAACACTAACTGGCATCTATGGAGGTTGGTCATTGCTTTGGGAATGTTTGGTTTTTTCCAGTCCCTTCTTGGTCCTTGACTAAGGGTGAGTATTTAACTATAGATGGATCTGGAGTTCCTTCCTCTAAATCAAAAACATCTGCCTAAAGAAAAGAAAGCAAGGAAGCAAAGTCAAAAGGGAGATATGTAATGTATTTGTATATTTTTTTCCAACTCCAGGTGGTGTCAATGTAAGAAAAAGCCACAAAATAGACCAAAAGTTACAAACATGCCCTTGCTATCATTAGTCTTAGTTTTTTACCAAGCCTGGACTTTATCTTTCTTCTGTATATAGAGTTGCTGATCACCAACATTTGCAAGCTTCCTATAAATAAAAGGGTCATAAAAAATGTGATATGGCTTCTCTGTGTGTGGTGGGGAATAACACAATGCAAATTCCTTTTACCATCCCACATGGCCTCTGAATGGTGAAACAATTTCTGTGGAAGAAATTTCTCCTGATTGTTTGCAGCCCACTTGTCAGGCTGTATATGATTTGGAACATCTCCATATTGCAATTTATTCTTTCAGTGGTTTACATCTCCAGAACTAAAGTAACTGATTACTTGGCAGCCTGTCAACAGGAGGAAGGAATAAAACAACAACAAAAAAAAAACCAAAAAAAAAAAAAACCAAAACAAACCAATCAAACAAAAAAGGCAAAACCCAAACAAATAAAAAAACCCTAAACCCTACAAAAACACCCCAAAAAAAAAAAAAAAAAGAGGAAAAAGTCATTTTAACTTATATTTGTTTCTTAACAAGTTTCCATCCTCCTGTTTTTTAGAGCATTTTTTTGGAAAGAGTTTGAAAGAGTGCCTTTTGGCTAGTTCAACATGAGAGAAAGATTGATGAATCCTAAATTAATAATCAGCCCTGGAATAAAAATATAAACTTATCTAAAATACTATATTAAGTCCTGCCAGAATATTCCTGGAATGCTGAAATTTGAAAACCTTAAATCTTTTGGTCCAATAGAATCATAGAATCACAGAATATCTGGAGTTTGAAGGAACTGACAAGGATCTTTGAGTCTGACTCCTGACCTTTTTCAGGACACCCCAAGAGTCACACTCTGTGCATGAGAGCTTTGTCCAAACTCTGCTTGAGCTCTGTCAGGCTGGTGCTGTGACCTCTGTCCTGGGGAGCTGCTCCAGTGCCCAACCACCCTCTGGTGGAGAAACATCTCCTGATATCCTATACCTCCCCTGGGGTAGAAGCTGTTCAGCCTGGAGAAGAGAGGGTTGTGTGGAGACCTTGTAGGAACCTTCCAGTATCTGAAGGGATCTGCAGAGAAGCCAGAGGGGGATTCATTGTTATGAACAGTAGTGATAGGACAAGGAGTAGTAGGTAAAACTTAGAGAGAAATTTAGGCTATATATTTGGAAGAAATTCTTTACTGTGAGAGTAGTTAAACACTGGAATATGTTGCCCAGGGAGTTTGTGGATGCCCCAGCTTGGGCAGCGTTTGAGGCCAGCCAGGTTGGATAAGGCCTTATGCAACCTGCTCTAGTGAAAACTGTCCTCCCCATGGCAGGAAGGTGATCTTTAAGGTCCTTTCCAACCCTTAACATTTTGTGATTCTACTATTTTGAAAAAGAGAAAATTTGGAAACTTTTTTCTCACGCTCTCTACAATTTTATTTCACCACATGCTCAGTGTGCTTGAAAAGATTTCAGTGTATTATTTTTGCATATGATACTTGGTTTACTGACTACAGGGACTCTGTTTTGAGGGTTTTTTCAGCATTCTAGCAAATCCCTTGCAAATAAGCCATGTTAATTGCCATAACAGTGTACTGACTTATGTGTTAAAATCTGATTCATATTTAAGCAGTTGCTTGTAAGTTTCAAAGAAAGCTGTGGTTTTGACTCAGAACTCTGCTTCTGTTTCTTTGGTTTTAGATTGAGGAGGATACGTGGCAGAAATACTACCTGGAAGGAGTTGCAAATGAAATGTATACAGAATATCTGTCTAGTGCCTTTGTGGGTTTGTCCTTCCCTGCAGTTTGTGAGTAAGTAGAAATACATTTAATATGCAGAAATATTTACCTTCTTGTAACAGAAATCTAAGTTTTTTGCATGAGACCTTTTCACTCTAATGTGAGGACTCTAAGTCCTAATGTTGCTGCATCAGATAGTGTCTAATAAAATAAACATTAAAGCAATCACTGCACTGAAGAATCTGAAACATGGTAATGCCTGGTTTCAGGAGAGATTTGTAATTAAGTGATTGTAAATTAAAGTATAAATGTTTTTTGTCTTGAACAAACTCATAAACAATCTTTTTAAATTGAGTAATTTGCTCGCAAATACTATCCTGTTATTTTTCTAATGATTCCCATTCTTTGAGTAGTAGTGGTCAGCATGACCATCTTGGCTTGTGTTCCATTCCAAGGAAACTATTCATTAATTTAAACAGATGTCATGGAGTCATATAAGCAGTGTGGCACTCAGAGCTCCACAGAAGTGGTTGCAAACCATTTGCAACAAGTAAAGTATGTGAAAGAAAAGATATGTCCGTTCAGTTATGAGAAAGAAGCACATAGTACATAACCATAGTGCAAGCTTCATTTCTGGACACTGAAAAATGCTTAGGCTAGAATGAATCTGTGAATGAGAGATTTGTATGCAAAAGGTTTGTATAATAAGTACTCTGTCTACATAATCACGTTAGTTTAGCACACTCATGTTTCTTCTTTCCTCCATTCTTAGAGGAGGAAATAGATGGAGAAGTAAAATACAGTCTGTTATGTAAAGGAGGATGGTTATGCTTCTACTCCTCTAACTTCCCCACCATTCCCAATTTTAACAGGAGCAAAAACATGGCATAAAATGAGGGGGAGACAACTGTTAGACAGGTATTATCCATTTAGAAATTTGTCTAGGATGTAGCTATGACAGAGCCCAGTCTTCAATTTGCTGGTAAAGTTAAGGGGTTCTCAATCCATCCTTCTACTGTGTCAGCAAAACTCTGTTGAATTTACTGAGGGGAAAAGTCTTTTACCATAGGCATAAAAGTTTGTGATTTACTGAAACCGGAAATCTCACAACATAATGCAAAAAAGTGTATTATATTCGGAATGAATAGTAGTTTGTGCTGTTAACACTAGCTACAGTAATGAAAATTAAATCTCCACCAAACCATTTTTAACTGTGTCAAGTTTCTATATGAGTTTGTAGGAAGATATAACTGAGACTGTATTTGACACAAAGCTGACATTCATTTATCTGTGCTGGTAGAATGGAGATAAAATAAGAAAGAAAGGGTGCTTATTGAGATTTAGAAAGATATCTAAATTTTGGAGGTCTCCTCAAGCACTTTAATTAATGAGTTTAGTGCATAGGTATTCTTATTAATGTAAGAATTGACTGCTCAGTTTCCAGAAGAACCGAAGGACAAGGACAGAGAAATGTCCATTGCATTGGTTTGTGAAGAGGAAATTGAATCAGTGTAGTCTTAGTGTATTCAGCCACCTGTGAAATATACAGACTTGGAGAACAGGTCTTGTAGTGTAACTTTTAAAATTCATGCAGGCAATGACATTTTAAAAGTCTGAAATTGAATGAAATGTTCTGCTTCCTCAGGTTATTTGTCATAAATGCAAATCTAGGAATGTGATTCTTTTGTGAATAGGCTGCCATACAGTCTGGATAACAAAGAGTGTGCAGAGACAGTGAGGATGGGACACTCAATATTGCTGAAGAATTTCCATCTTCTGATGTCAACACTAGGCTGAAGAATTAGATGGAAATAGAAGTTAATATCAGTCTGCAAGTTCTGTTTATAACTCCACGTGTGTGCACTGTGTGGACATCTTCCAACAATATATTTTGAATATGTGAATGTAGTTCCTGACATTCTATGCCCTTGGATATTTCTGGACCAGGTGTGAATGATGTTATTGAAGATGAACTAACCAGTCTGTCTCCTACTGGTGCAGAGCCTTCTAATGTTTAATGTAAGACTAACCTTCACCCAGGTTCTAGGCCTACCGCTCTCCACCCCAAAATGTTCCTAACGAGGCCAGCATATCTGTGCAGTGATACTCAAGCAGTGGGAGCAGCCACCTGCCCGTGTGTGGTGTTGGTTGTGCAAAGGCACTGACTGCTGGGCTCTTGTCTCCCTGCAGGCTGGTGTTTGCCAAGCTGAAGCTCTTGATGATAGCCATCGAGTACAAGTCGGAGAAGCGCGAGAGCAGGTACGGCCCACGGCACCAGCCTGGGCAGTGCTCGAATGCACTGCCAGGAGTTTGGCCTGCTTTGTTTTCCAGAATGAGCATAGCTGTTCTTTGAAACATTTCAGAATGGAATTAGCATGCCATCGCATTGCAGCGTTTCGCATAGGCCTGAAAGTGACTTATTTCTGCCCTCTTCCTCCCTAAAAGTAACCCAAGTCAGAATGATTAGTAAAAAGTGCAGTAGTACATATATCTCATCTCAGGAGTGATTTTACTTATGGAAAAGCTTACAATTTTTGTGTTTATAGCATATCACTTTTAATCAGACGTTCAACATACACTACTGAAAACAGAAAAATGGAAAACAGATGTGATATCAAAATTCATTATAGCTGTGTGTATTTTCAAAATACAAATTTCATTTAAATCAGTTTGAGGGAACCAATTTAGATATGTTACAGGATAAACAAATAAAGGGTAAACATAATATTTAAATAAAATTTAAATATCTGTTCTGACAAAATTTACATGAATAACATAATGAAACTGGAAAAGATTAATTTAGCCTTGAAATTACCAATTGGCTGGCTATTTTCATTAACCAAAAAGAAAAAAAAATCATTATTCTTAGTACAGATTCACAGATGGGAAGTGTTTCTTGCATTTTTGTTTTTGTGCAAAGGTTCATAGAAACATGATTGAACATTGGAGTCAATCTTCCATCACCTCGTCCATTAATGTTTTAAACAATATTCATTTTTATGTAACAAAAACATTATAAATGTTCTCTGAAACATGTGGAGGGTCATCTAAAAACATATGGCAATACTAACTCTGAGAGGAATTTGATTCTCTTTTTTTGCAATTACATTTTGTACTGCCGTGGTAGACCTGAAGTGATACATAGTAGTTCATCTTCTTTTTGGCCACTTATTACCTTTTTGTGGCCAAAGGGCACTTTTGGGGACAATTGCTCCTTCTCACAGGAGAACTAATTCTATCTATTGAACTCATTCTACATTTTCTGGGGTTTTGAAAGTTTAACACTTAGCATTAACTTTCATAGTTTTTCTTAATTAAAAAAAATCTATAAAACCTGTGTTAGAAATTTGATATGGAAAAAGCAGTGTTGCAACCATTTATGAGCATTTCCATGCCCTATGGTTGATTTTGCTGGATTCTTCCATATATTATAAAATGAAATGTGAAGTGGTGTATGTACTATTGGATATAATTTTTGACCACACTATGCTGATTAAGAAATCCTTTTTTTTACTGTCAGATTTTTATGCTGTATTTAGCTTCTTTGGACTCTTAAATTACTTTTACATTGAAAGACCTCATTCTGCATTGGCTAATGTAAAACAAACAATCTATTCTTCTGTCTCTGAACAATTTAATCTTTTGCTAGAAAAAGGAAAAATACAATAATAACAGCAAAATACAAAAAATACAATACAAAAAATACAATAATAACAGTGGAACAATTTACCAAATTTTGTGTCTTCAATATTAAGAAATATTTGGTTTCTGTTTTTCTCCTAACTAATATTGGCCAGCTTTATATTGCCATTACTTCAGTTGTCATTAACTTACATAAGTGCTAATATTGCAGTCTTTTACAGTAATAACAGATTGTTCTTGGCTTCCATATCATTCTTTGCATTAACTTCAGTGGAAGTTGGATTGAGTTCTTAATCAAAAGGTGATGCAGAGGATCCCACAAAAAGTAAAACAGTGTGATACAATCATATATTTCTTACTTACAATAATCATTTTTACTTACAATAATCATTATCATAGGGGAAAAAAGAGCCTAAAATTGCTGGAAGCAATACTAACAAAGAGATATTAACAGCTGGATTTGTTGAACTTGTATGTAGAAAGAGGAGGATAAATAGCGTAGGTAGTCACATTTTCTTATAACCCTGATCCACAGCAATATCTCCTGATTTTATTAACCAGTGACAATTTTATAGTCACTGTTTGATCAGTCACAGAGCTACCTGCAGCATATTACTTTTCTACTTGTTCCTGTGCTCTTCAAGTCAAATATGTTAACTAGATATTTGTGGTTTTCTGATCTTTTAGTCAAACCAGAAAGGTAATGCAACAAAACTTCAGTTTCTCACCTCCTAAATATACTTGCATTTCTATGCATCTTATTAAATGAAAAGATGCAGAATTAAAATAAAACTTAGAGTTACACAGTTTAGAAGCACAAGCCCTTTTTGAACAATGTAAATTTGTCATTTGTCAATTATGTTTGTTGATATTGACATTGGAAATGTTTTATTCTGCTTATATCCAAATTTCTTCCTGGTAATTTTTCATAAAGGTTAGATGGGAGCTGACTATGGATATTCAAGTTTTCAGTCTTTTGAGAGTGACAGAAAGTAGATACATGCTGATTTATTTTATAATTATACTTTGCATTCATGTTTTGTATAACTATCATGTTTTGTAGAACTATTATGGAAGAAGTTTTATATATTTCAAAATTTAGAGAAACAATGCTAAATATAGCTAAAAATTTAGAACATTGTATAGATGGCACTCTTTCATTAAGATCTAATACTCTAATTTCTTTTTTACTGTAGGGAATTTGAAATCAATAGTAATTAAAAATTATCAGAACTCTATCCAAGCTAATTTTGGTGTACATGTTAGTGGCAGTTGAGCTTCCTGCCTGCAGATGGTTTTATCTTAATTTTTCCTGAATACTAATAAAGCTACATAAAACAGAAAGCACACCTTGATAAGTTTTGTCAGTTTAGGTAGGTAATTAATAACAATTATGATTTTACAGAATTGCTTAAAAGCTGATATTCAAGCCTAAGTATAATTAATATAGTTATAAATATGATAAATGTATATTAGTTTTCATATCATGAATAGAGTATCTAGAGTACGTTTATCGTTTTACACAACTGCTTCTCATTAAGGTATCTTAAAGATTCTTTAAATCCCTATGATTAGATTTCTTAAACTTTGCGTTTATATATTTAATAATATTTAAATTATTTCTCAGCTATCAAAGAAATCTCTGACTTTACAAAATTCAGTTTAGAGTTTCTGACTAGCTACTAAAGTCTGCACTCTAGTAACTCCAGCTCACAATATCAGTTAACCATTCCTTCATCTCTAATTGCTTTCTGGGAAGGTTATAACCCATGATTAAGAACAGGAAGCACTTAAATTATTTTTTGTCTCCCTGGTGCAAGCCAAATACTATCACTTAAAAAGTGTTCTTAGCTTATTTGGAGAGGTTTTTCTTTTTTTGTAGAAAAATGCAAAGGAAACATAGAGAACATGAACCTGAAAATATCCCAATGTTGAATATATAGCAAAAAATAACAGTTCAAAATTCAGATATTCAAACTCCTCATCTGAAATCCCTTTTAGAGAGATTTCTGCCTTCCTTTCCCCCCTGTATTTTTATTCTACATAACTAAGCGAGAAGGAAAGCCTCACCAGGATTCTTCCCTCCTGCTCCCCATTTATACTCCACTTGTAAAATTTTCTCTTTGTCTATCCATATATTTGTTCTCATTCTCAGCAGAAAAACCTTTAAGCCTTGAAGACTTTTAAATAAAGGGTTTTTTTGCTTTTGCTTTGGTGTCAGTTGATTTCTTATCAAAGTGTTTGATTTGCAATTTTTTTCTTGTCGTTTGCAGAAGCCGAAAGCGGTATGCCCTCTTCGTTACCTTTCCTTCCAACCTCAATCCTACCTTCACTCCTTCTAACTTCAGGACTAATTCCTTGCCAAGAACACAGGAAGATAACATCTTTGTCTATCTTTCTCTGTATATACACACACATATATACCTATACATATTCATCTATCTATGTGTGTGTATATATATATCTCTGTGTATATATTTATATATGAGCCCCCAATCTCAAAGAGGAGAGAGAGAACAGCATTTTGTCTCTCCAGTGTTTCTTGTGACTCACGCACTAACTTCTTTGCAGGAAGTACAAAATAAAACACGATTCATTTTTTAGGCTTTTTTTCCCCTTTGTGGAGTCATTGGTGTATCAGATTGTTGCATTTGAAAAGCAGATTTCACTGTTAACATCTCCTGTCCTCATTTTGACTGTATCATGACGATGTATATTTCGTCTTTACCAGCCCTTGTGCTGCCATGTTGTTCATATTCACACCGTCATTGATGTCCTTCTTTCCCCAGTTCTTCCTTCAAAACACATCTTACAATACAGTAGTTCATGTTCTCTTGCAGTCTCATTCTCCATTAACAGCAACCAAATACCTGATTCTTTGCATTTCTGGTCCTGTTTTGAGTCTAGTTACTCATAATACAGTACTCATTTAATTTTTTGTACTGTTCCAGTGAAAGTGCCATGGATAGTTTATTATATGTCACATTCATTTTAATGACATTTATTAACTCATGTATTAAGATGTTACTGAATGTATTTTTTTTCTCAGCTTTGTAGTTTTTGTTTCTTTTTTGAGATGGCATGTTTTGCATTTTCTTTGGTTTACCATGCTGTGAGTCCCTCTCTAGTCTACATTCTATCATGCTGCTATTGGTTTGGAAGTAGATATGGCATGCTCTTTCATATCCTTGTCTCTCCTCATCTCTCTTCCCCCAACAGCTTTTTTTTTTTCCCTAATTGCTTTTAGCAGTCTGTCTGACTGTCAGTGATGGTCTTTGGAGACCTGCTGTCATTGTCCAGACATTTCAATTTCCGTCTTCATTGTACTCTTCAAACTCTATTTTCTGTGTCTGTTCTGTTGTGTATGTTGTATGTGTTATGTGTATTTAAGTTTTAGTCTTACCTTCCTATAGTTTCTGAGTAGATGTGTGATAAGAGAGGTGACTTCCTGTCAGTTTGGGATTATTGATATGATCCAACTGCAGAGAAGTTACTGCAACACTTAGCATCTCCAAGGATCTGCAGCTGTTGCACCTCTACTTTGCTTCTTGCTTTTAAGTATATCTTATCTTGTGGTGAAGGCATGTTAATGCTGGCATGATGAGCAATATGAAGAGGTGTTGTACCAGGTGAAGTTGCTTGCTCCCAGAATAAAGTTTATTGTTCTGCCTCATTGTACTGATAATGAACCACTTCTGGAACCAGAAGGAATAATTTAATTGTTTTCAAGTGTATTGAGTTCACCATCACTATTGAACTAGTTTGGAGTATGCCCAAATAAAATACCTCATGCACATCCTGTAGACCATGACTTAGGTGCTGTTGTAAAAAACTTAAGTCCTGGGAGCAACCTTTTATATGCTTGTAGTAATTAAGCTTTAATGTACTGTAGCATGTAATGTGCACTGTGTCTTTTGCCTTGTATTCTTTTCAATGTCTTACTAGATTTTGCTGTATAGAGCATTATGAATTCATGTCAGTGATAGAGCCCAGAAAAAAGAAGCAATATTTATGAGTTGCAATTAGTGTGAGAACTGGTATGTGCACAACTCCCACTATGGGATTTGTGCATTTACACTCACACTCCACTTCAAAACATGCCCTGAAAAGAAATATTTCCAGCTACTTCTGTAGTTGGATAAATGGCGTGGTGTGTTTTAAAAGGCCGTTATGCTAATAGTGGTACTTTTAATCTGGGCATAGTGTGAAACAATCAAGAATAATAGCTGGTTTTGTCTAAAAGTATAGTAGCTATAGTAAATGATACCACATGATTTTGTTTAAGATAATGTATTTATAGTACTTAAAAATATTATATCTTCCTGATTACTAGATAATATTGCTACTGTTTGAGTTGCACGGGGAATGGTACAGTACATCTACCACAAGATTTAAAACAGGATTGTTACCGCTTTTGCCATTCGTTTAGTCAAAATTTTGGTGTTTGTGTTTCTTTAATTTCAACAATTGGTCTTTCTTTTTCTTTAGAGTAGGGTGATGGCAGTCACACAGGTAGCCATACAGCTGAAAGCAAACAAACAAAAAGAAGTAGGGTTACTAAATCAGACAGGTTTCCTTGATGCAGGGATGAACTGTTCAGTTGGTCTCTGATAATGGATTTCATCACACCTGACTTTGTCAATCAAATTGTTAAATGTCTAATCTCCTGTTAGTTGTCCAGATTTAGTCCATAATTGCAAGGGAAGAGAGAGACAGTTCTTGAATGCATTAGAATTCGATCCTAAAGTAGATGAGATGAATCCCACCTTTAGTATTGTCTAAAATGTAAAGTTGAAAGTAAGACCAAACAGGAATGAATAGTACATAACAGAGGCATGGATAAGGAAAATCCTTAAAAGGCCTCTCCTGCTCCATGTCTCTATTTGTTGACCTTATCTGTGCTTTCAGTTTGTAGTCCTCATGAAGTGCTGCTAAAATGTCATTATCCTTGCACATTTGCTGTGCTGTACTTGCTGGGCATCTCCATGTGCCTTTGTCAGCTTAGTTTAAAGACTTTCGCCACACTGTTCCATATTATTAAGGTCCCTCTTTTGTTCTTCTCAGAGAAGGCTGACAGTTATGCAGACAACAGATTTGAGTGTCAGCTACTGTAATACTATGTCTAGATTAAGAGTTCAAAGTTCCATCCATTCACAATTCAGCAGTAGTGGAAGCCTCCTCAGTTTCAAGCTGTGCAAAGCAAATTGTGGAGCCGTGCCACTTAGCAAGTTGGCCTACTAGTAAATACATACTGCATAGTGATGGTTCAGACTCTGACACAGACTGGTTGTTTTTTCCATGGAGTTCACCTAAAAGATGGCTGAATAGTCTAGAAAGCTACAGGAAACATTTTTCATCTCCTACTGAAATCTTTTGTATGCTGATAAATTATTAGAAGTAATGTTTTAAATATTTTTTGTATTTTGAAAAGCTATCAGCTTTCCATAACTTTGTAAGAGTGTTTTAGACCAAGAAACATAACTTGAGTGAGATATGTGTGATATTTGAAAGCAGGACCTAGCAGCAGAAATGAGTAAAAATAAATAGCTAGAGGAATTAGTCTCACCCCAAATGTCAGATCACAAATTGTCTTACAGTTTGAGTCTCCAATCATTAGGCTCTCCATCAATTACCTTTGCATTAAAAAAGCCATAGAAGATACACAATTAGTAAAGGAAACCTTAGCTTACTTTTAGTGCTTTAAAGGAAGATATAATATGGTATGCTTCAGCTAGGTCAGAATATTGGTGTCTTTTGGAGTCAATCATCCATGCACTACCAAAAAAGGTATTGAGCAGCACTCGTGTTCTGGAGTAGTTTCAGATAGATAAGGATGGATGAAATGATATTTTCATGTATCTGTATTTTATTGAAGGTAGCATGTATACTTAAAATATCAGAAAAATACAATTCAATAAGTAAGTTGGGCACAATTAACACACAGTGAGAAACATGAACAGATGTCTGTTCTCCCCTGTCGTATGAAAAAGTCATCATGTCCAATCTGAAATTTTCATTGAATGTAAAGAAAACCATAAACATTTGTCTAGAATTTCTGTGACCTTGTTTGAGTTTTGGGGTTTTTTTTGAAACTTTGTATATTTCCATTTGTTTTTCACCTGCTAATATTTCTGACAGTCTGGGAACACATTTTCAGCTGTGTAGATAATATTAATGATTCTTTCATGTGTTTTAAGTGTTGAGTGTAAAATTGGATGGGGCTTTGAACAATCTGTTCTAGTGAAATCTGTGCTAGTTACCATGACATGGGAGTTGTAATTAGGTGATTTTTAGGGATCTTTTTGAACATAAACCATTCTGTGATTCCTAAGAGTCCAACTGAATTCAAAGGTGATATCCACATTTTCAGTGTGGGACATTTTCATTGCTCTTAGGTGCATGACCCTGCATCTAGTCACCAAGTGAATCTTTAATAACAAACGGGGTGACTTTTGCAGATAAGTGTAAAACACAGATTTCCACAGTGCATATTCTATTCCACAAGTGGCTTCCTAATTGTAATATTATCAAAAAGTAATGGAACCGACTTCTCCTAAGTTTATGATGGTGAAGTACATTAAATTCCCATTAAACACATTAAATCATATTTAATTTGCATGGCTTTAATTGCCATGTGTCCTAAACATTCATGTGTGAAGGAGCAGGCAGTCATGTGAGCCCTGTCACGAAGGGTTTTGTCCTGAGGGATGTATTTCTGGAATTGCAGTCATTAAAGAAACGATGACTACATGGTTTTAAGCTTGCTATTACTTGCCTACTTTGTGTGATAACCTAAACTAGAAATGTTATAGAATTACAAAGTTTGATCAAGATCTTACAAGATTCTAAAGTTCTTGGCCTTTCTTGCTTGGTTTCATGAGCTGATTTATGAGAGAAAAAAATCAAGTTGCGCTTTATGTTAAAAAAATCTATTTGAAAAAAATCAGTGTCATTTTCAGTAATATTTTTTCTGATGTGTGGCACAAAATGCATATGGATTAGCTATATGTATTGCTATTAAACCTTTTGAGTTTGTAGTTTTTCACCTATTTGTTTGTAACCTTGTATATATATAAATGAGACATTAGCTGAAGCTGTCTCTCCTAAAACTCCTATTTAGTTTACCATGTACTTGTATTCTCAACTATGAGGATAAATATGCATATTTTCATTTGAAAAAAAATGCATCTCTGAATAACTGATGGATGTATTTTTCTTGGAATACTCAGAAGACTGTTTTGTTTTTCTCTGTGTTGTTTGTTCCCTATATTCTGTTTTAATTCAAAATGTTTCCCTTGCTGTAAATATTACAGTGAGTGCTTATCAAAGCATAACTTCAGTTAAGGACACTACAGGTGTCATAAGAAATAATTGAGTTGCAGCTTTAATAAACAGTACATTTAATGTATCCATACAGGTCAGTAGAAATTGCTCATGATTTTGCTCTGGTGTGTATATAAGCCCAAAGCTTTATGAGCTTTTTCTGTAATTCTTAGCCAGTAGCAGGGATGGGGCAAATTAATTTTCATTTCCAACAGAAGCATTAACTGTGATCACATCCATATTTTGTGGTTATAGATACATTGTATTTGTGAAAAGAGGTATATGTGAATGAAGTACAAGATCTGACAAAAATAAAGTCTGTACACTGACCCATGTGAATTGATTTAATGTGTCTCAGAACACCTTGAGATACAAAATCATGCTCACAATGCATTGAATCCTAAATGAAGCCAGTTACTTCCAATTTAAGACTATGTTCCATGCATCTCAGAAGAGCTGCCTCATTTGTTTATTACTTAATCAAATTTTAAGTGTCATTATGAGAAGTGAACATTTATAGATCTAGTGGTTACCTCAGTTTGTGGAGTTTGGGTTGTTGAGGTTTAGGTAGGATTTTTTTTCCTCTTTGGTATGGTTTATCCATATCCAAGAATTGTATTGGGGGGAAATAAGACCAGCCTGGGTCCATGAAAATGAAAATAAATATGTTCATCTTTTTACACTGAAAAGCTGTAACACTTATGTGACTTAAGAATCAAGTAAGGAAATAAAAAGTGTTTTTCAGATAGAGCAGTACCCATTTGTACTTAAGAAAAACAGCCGACCCAAATTACAAGACGTTACTTATTTTATAAGGAGCAGTATAATACATACATGAGATTAGCCTCTAGAGAAGATTTTTTTTAGTTTAGCAGCTAAATTCTCAGTGTAATGGCAGGTTACTACGTACTAGCAGGCAGGGAGGAGGAGAGGTGGAGATTAAGATGGCAAGTACAGCACTCTGCAAGTGCTAAGGAAGTACTTTGTGTGTTCAGGTGACGAAAGGTTGTGCAGGAAAGCTAAATGTGCCAGCCTACTTTTGACCTGATTTCACATGAAGAAATTCTTATGTAGTTGTTTCTTTTTATTTTTTTCTTTTATCTGTTTTATTCCATCTTAAACCTGTGAAATTGCATTTTAAACTTACATTAGGTAGAAGTTTTCATTGTGACTGCAGCCATTAGGCCCAATTCACTAACAAAGAAATGCTAGATATGATAAGAGATGATACTAGTTAGTGATGGATGATACTAGTTTAGCTGTGTAACTTTATTTCATCCCATTTATCTGTGTGTGTAATACAGGTGTTCCTTATACCATCACGTTTCATTTTTTGCAAATATTAGTAAAGTGTGCTGTGGAAATGAACCTGCTTTTTGTGGTGATACCTTCCAATTCCTGTAGTTCTCCTCTCCTTTTTATTTGTTGCAAAGCTTGAAACTGTCAATGAAGAAAAGGGAAGGATATCTGGGTAGATGCTTTCTTTAAGATTTGATTTCTGTTCCAGCCTCTGACACAGGCTGTCTGTGTGAGCAGGAGACAATAATTTAAACCAAAGTTTCTACAGCTGATCTCTGATTAAGTATATTCATTATTTTGCGAATCAGAGGCTGGGCTTTTGGAAACGCTGAGCATTCTCACAGCAAAAGTTCCTAGAAAGTCTATATGACCTATGCAATGCTAAACACTTAGAAAAATTTGGCCTGTAGGCATCCCAAATTAATAAGTACTAAATCTCATAGTTACTTAATCTCTCCTCTGTAAAATGGGGTAATACAATATCTTCATTCTTCCTGTCAAAGAAATTGTTTATGAATCTTTTGCATGCTGTAGTGATGAACACTGCAGAAAAACACATGAGAAAAATATGATGCTGATTTTCAAGAGAGATAAATTACAGGAAGCCATGCCTGAAGTAATGGCAGTAAAACACCACTGAGTGAAGTTTCAGATTGTGAGAAGGAAGGAGTTTGTGGGTATTAAATTAAGAACTGTATCATAAGGTCTACATAAAGGGGGCTGAAATATGACTTCATGACCAACCTTTTACTTCTGAACTCATGAGCATTTTATTTTGTGGCCTGCATATTCTTGTCATAGGGTGTTGTGGGCATGTGGAATTACACAAAAAAATGTGCACATTATTAATCTTTCAGATATATTATGTTGTCATACTAATTCATTCCTAATGTGTAGAGAGTACTTAACATATTGAATAAGAGATGTACTGAGATCCATGTTCCCTCCTATCAATGGCATGAAAGACTTTGGACCTTCAAATTTTAGTAATGTATGTCTGTTCAGCATTGTGCTTTATTTTTGTGTATATGTATTTCCATAAAATCAATTTTTGCTAGATGGACAAGTGGTTCAATTCCTGGTAGTCTTTATTTACTCTAAATTGCATATGCATACCATTACTACATTTTGAGTTAGAAAAGCTGAACTTTAATAAAAGATGAAGAGAAAACTTCTGAAAAGCTATATTAAATTTTAGAGAGTCAAAAGCTTAGATATATTTCACATGAATAAAACTTACTGGAGAATATATTTATATTTATCTGTATATTCACATTTAGCTTGGTGCTTTGCAAAACACCTTTCCTAAGGTCTAGATTTAAATAATTATGAAAATAAAGATATTTCATAGACATGGAGTACTTCACTTGTTGATACTAGTTCCTTTGTCAAAGTTAGCTCGGTTATTTTTGTTCTTTCATGGCTGCATAGCAGGTTTTAAAAATTTTCTATTCATTTTATGTTTTTTCAGCTGTCGTGACTGGTTGTCTTGTACCATTCCCCTTGAGTGTATGTGTGTATTTATTATTTTAAACAATAACATTATATGTCCAGATAGGGGTCCCATTAACTTTCTATTTCACTAGAAATTGGCAAAAATTTGCATCCAAGGGTTTAGTTTCATAAGTGATATTTTTGTTGTTATTGAGCAGTGGCTGAAGGTTTTTTCCTTTTCACCATATTGTGAATTTGTCACCACTTTGCATGACAGAGCAAGCAAACAGCAATGCTCAGCTTCACACTTCACATTTCTGAGAGGACTTTGTGTAGTCTATAATTAAAGCAAAAAGATAAGAAAACAGATGTAAGCACTTAGATTATGTGATTATAGGCAGAGGCATTTGACTGTCTCAAACTAAAGTTTTTGTAAAACGCATGTGAAACTGTTATTTGATTGGAAATATCAAGGAAGAAGGGCTTAAAATTTCCTTGCAGCCTTTCCTAACTAGTGGGTCCCCTATAACAGAATCAAATAAAGCTAATTTGGAAGATTCAGCTAAAATTAATATAAACTTATTGTTTTGTTGGTTTTGTTCTTGTTTCACTGAGCAGTATATTAATCAATCCTGGAAACCACGTCAAGATTCAAGAAGGTACCTTAGGATTCTTCATTGCAAGTGATGCCAAAGAAGTAAAAAGGTAATTTCAATGTTTTTATCTTTGAATAGAAACAAATATATTTAATTTTAGTTTTTTTCTTTACATGTAAATTCTTCACCTAATTTTCATTATCATATGTTTAAAAATTCAGAGGGGGTGTTGAGTTGTTACTCCTGAACCACCTATGTACATGTAGTTTTCCTAACTATTGTCCTAAGTACCAAGGAACTGAAATTTGTCGCAGATATGAAAGGAAATAAAGAGACTGGGTTTTTGAGTCCTCCTAGAAAATGTGAAATATTTTCATTTGTTTTCTCTATACTTATTGTGTCTCAGAGGAATTACTATGAGAGAGGAGGACAAGGATGACGCTTCTGTTAGATTCTTGTTTAGAGGAGTTGTTATCTACACAGACTTTAGCAAATTCTTGATGCGAGTTAGCTGCTGTGTTTATTCTGTAATTGCATTAGCAAAATAATATTTATGTTCTTGTCATTTTCCTTTAATGGAACTGCAGACTCCACAGCCTCATAATAACAAATCAAACTACAAAAGTGCATTATATCCATTGCAGCCAACTTCACAGGCTCAATGTACCTGGGCGTGCTAGATTTGGGGTGAAGGAAAAGGAGTTTTATGATATTGTGTTGAGGACCAAATATAATTCTTGTTTGTTAGGATTATAGTATGCTTGGAAGGAACAAAAGAGCAATGTGATAAAATAATTTTTCAAAGAAAAATATTCAGTGTCCCTATAATAAAAAAGAAAAAAATTAATATTTGCAGCTGAGTGTTTCCTCATTATTTGTATCTTTGTTATGAGTCATGCAATCAGATTTTTACTGCTGTTCTCCATGAGTTTGGTATTTTAACTAAATCCTATACTTAAAATGATAAAGTATTCAAATGATACTCTTCATTAAGTTCCAACCTTTTTTGGATTAAATACAGTGAAATAATACCTAACAATGCCTACTTGCCCTGCATATATAAAGAAAGTCAAAACACCAAAACAGTGAAATTGGAGAACTTAACTTTTACTTTTCTTGAAAGAACTGAGGTAGATTTTGGCTAGGTGAAATGTACAGAACAGGACAGTGGTGCTCCTGTCCTGTCACATCTCCAGCACCATCTCTGGAGCCTGTGCATCCTGCACTGCCTCAGGGACTCTGCCTTGCAGCATCCTGTTCCTTTCCTCTCTGCTGCTTTTCTCCACTTGAACATCCAGAACTGTCTGCACATTGCTTTACTGAGCTGCTAGTTTTCTTTCATTTATAAGGCATTTTACACTTTGCAATGAACTTTTTCTCAGACTAAGTAAAATGGCATAATATTTTAACTGCTAAGATTAGGGAGAAGTTAACTGTTATAAAGGCGTTTAGACAAATTTTTCACATCATTCATCTGCCACATTTTATTTGATAGTGAACATGAAACAGGATTTCCAGTTCAGTCTGGCTTTTGGCAGAAGGCAATGTTTAGAAATACTCTGCCTCCCTTGCCACGTTTCTTAGCTGCTCTGTGCAAAGCAAATGGTTATCAGATGTGTTTCTAGTAACAAAGCCAATTATGAAAAGTGTTAATTTCACCCTTTGAGCTATCAATCAGACTCAGAAATATGTTCTAAAATTGAGATCTTTTGGAGGGGAAAAATTATTTTACAATAAAGCATAATTAAACATGTTTTATACCTGAAATGCAAATTAAATTATTCTGGCTTTGTTAATGAAGACATTTCAACCCCCTTAAGCTAAAGTTATTCATATTTATATATCCCACAATGAGATATAACCTACAATGTTCAATTACTCTTTCTGTTAGAATAATTTTTGCATTTTTAGAAGAATATTTTCCCATAAGAAGCAATTACACCTACAAACAGTTATGCCTAGGTAAATAGCTTCACATAAAATGTTGACTGTTTAAATATAATACAAACTACCTGAATTGCATCTTCATTGTTCCTTGCTAATTTACATGTTAACACAAGTGCCAAAAATCCACATTCTTCAAATCCACTTAATTTACCCCAGTTATCTAGAATAATTTTATTACAGCAATCACTTCAGGTATTTATTCTTTACTTTGGACATGGGATTGAAGGTACCCTTTAGGACAATTGTGCTGCAGTGAACTTCAGAAACATGGTCTCTAGCGATGGTTCATGTTGTGAAGTTTTTGTGATGGACTATTTGTGGTAGTTGATTCTTGTTTAATAAAGGGGCTTTACAGCTGGACTGGAGAGAAATTTTAAAAATTTGAGGCAGTTTTCTCCTCCTGGCTTCCATCTTGACATTTACTCATGGTTTGAAAAACACTTTCTTCTCATTTCCTTGGAAGTAGTTGATTTTCTTTTTGGCGGAATGTGAATATCTTGAAGACCAGAAACTTTCTGCAGCAAAGTATACGTGCTCAGAGAAGATGTTTTCCTTTTACATTTTGCATCTTGGAAATACTAAGGCAATTTCACAGCCTGAAAGAGTAATCTTCCTGTGAGTTTCTTAGAGAAATAAAGTGTGCTAGGTTTAGGACTTACATATTCCATTGGTAGCTTCATGTTATATTGATTTTAGAAATGTTAATAGCATTCAGTGAGGTCTCCCTGCAATTTCTATTTGTATTTGAACCAATATGAAGCATTGATGTGGTTCATCTCTTCTATGCTAGACCTGCTGTCTTTCTCATGATGGGTCACTTAACTACCAGTAAAGTTCCACCTGCAGTGGCCGTGCTATAGTTAATCTAGAAGAAATAGTAGTGATCATCCTGGCTGCAGGGGCAAAGGCTGTATTTAATCAGAGGCTGTATATAAATATTGGTTTGGTTTTGTGTTTTTTTATATTTTGGACTGTAGGTAGTTTTGTTTCAGTGGCCTCCTAATTGTTATAGCAATCTAATGTTCTCATACTGTCCCCAAAATGTATGGGTGTCATCTGAAAATTTGCTGAGGGTGCACTTGATGCCTCTGTCTGTGTCATTAATGAAGGTATTAAATAACACTGGTCCCAGTACAGATCCTTGAGAGACATCAGTTGTAACTAGTGCCCGGTGGGACTGTGAGCCATTGATCATTACCCACTGAATGTGGCCATTCAACCACTTCCTAATCCACCCATGGAATCCATCACTCCAGTTTGGACAGAAGGATGTGGAGGGGGACCATGTCAAAGGCTTTACAGAAGTCTGGATAAATGACATCTGTAGTACTTCCCTGTCTGCTGATGTGGTCAGTCCATCACAGCTGGTTGGTCAGGCAGGATTTTCCTTGGTGAAGCTGTGCTCCCTGTCTTGAATGACCTCCCTGTCCTCCATGTCCCTCAGCACAGCTTCTGGGAGGATTTGTTACACGACCTTTCAGGCACAGAGGTGAGGCTGACAAGCCAATAAGGTCATTGTTTCTACCCCTGTTTAAGATCAACATACAGTGTTGATCATACAGTAATGATCAAATGTCCTAGCTGAAAAATTTGCACAGGGTGCTAGACAGTCTTTTAAAAAACACACCCTGGTAGCTGATGAAAACAAAAAGTCCTTTTTGTGATTAAGTTCATTAGATGCTCTTTTTTCTAAGATGAACAACAAATAAACTAATACACTGTGGCATAGTTATCATACATTCTTCCAATTACTTTTCAAATAAAAGTGTATTAAAGGAAATACTAATTTGGAGCTTATTGTTGAAAGTAATGGTCTTGCAGCAAATATTTCCTACTTTCAATGTCCAAACCTTTGCAAAGATTAAAGTAAATTAGCATTGGCGCGTTTCCTTAATTGGTCACTGCAACAAGATGAAATATAGGACTAATTTCATTTATAAGGATTAAGAAATGTGTCAGTTTTTCCATTCTGTCTCTCCAGGGCATATTTTTACTGCAAGGCCTGTCATGATGACATCACAGATCCCAAAAGGATAAAAAAATGTGGCTGCAAACGGCGTAAGTAATATTTCTATCCCTCCCTTCCTCTCCTCTTCATGAACTGTTCAGCCCTGAAGAATACCTGTACATGCATTTACATGTTTTACACTGTGGTACAGAAAGGCTAAGAAATAAATGCACAGCAATGTAGGAAGTGCTATTTGAGTTTCTGAAGTCCATATGTTTTTGTTACATTTCACACCACTCACACCTGTGTCTTCATTAAAAAGTAAATTAAAGACCAATGCTAACAAAAACTGAAGAATTAAGTCAAGCTAAATTTAACTGTGGAGATTTCTGAGTTAAGAATTAGCCAACAGTGAAGTTTTTCTCTCATTCATAACATGCAGATTCTGCAAGAGAAGAAACTAGGGAATTATATTTTATCATATAGCTATTGAATTTTTTTTTCTTTTTAAATAAATAAACAGTTTTAGTGGAGGAAAGGGTTGTCTGGAAGAAATTAAATATTAACACCTCTTACATATATCCATTTAGCTGTAATGCTAATATTAAGTTTAGTTAGGGTCTTAAATTGTTTGGACAGTTTTTAGTGAAGAAATGAGTGTTTCAATGGAGATGAGACTTTGCATCTGAATTTCTATAAATATGTAGCAATCAGCATTTTACCCATATATACTTTGAAAGGACCTTTTTCAGGAGCTATCACAACCACACTTTGACCAAAGATGTGCTTGACCCATGCATATTTGTAATACCAATAGCAAAATTATTTAGAAATCAATTTCTCATTGAATATATAAATATTTATGTGCATTCCATGGCATTCTGCCATGAAAAAGATAGTTCGGTTTAAAAGTATTGATTAAGTAAATTGAGAGATCTCAGAAGGGCTTGATCATGCCTGTTTTACCATTACTTTTAAAAGGGGAAAAGCTCTCTTATTTATAGCTTCAGTCTGCTATAAAGAAAGCTCTCTTATGTATAGCTTCAGTTATCAGTGCACTGTTATATAGAGGATGGAAGAAAGCCTAAGCTAAACATTCTCTGCCTTTTGGAGTACCTGAAATGGATGAAGTCTTGAAGATCATTTTCAAAAGAAAAAAATTTGTTGCTGGAGATTTTTAAAAAAACTCCTGTCCTCCAAAGCACCACGAGTGTGGAACAATAGTATGATAGGGAGAAAGCAGCTGGAACTGACAGAAAATGGTATTTATCTTCCCAGTAGCCACAAGGAGAGCAAAGCACATGGAAAGCATGCCTGATGTGGAAGGAATGTATGCATTGCCTAACATATTGGAAAAAAATTGTTCAAGAACAGTTTATCCATGTGAGAATGTGACCTTTGAACTGCTGCCAAAGCCAATGAGTCTGCTGAGTAAGTTCTGGTAAAGCCAGTTACAGATGCCTCAGGGGTCTGTGACTCTCATGAAATCTTTTTTCAAAATTACTCAACAGTTAAAGAGAAATATGTTACCTGCTTAATTTTATCTGGTTCTGTCAGGAAAAAAAAAACAAAACCAAAAAAACTATTTTATTTCTATTTTCCTCTATACTCCTCCTTCACATGGTGTATGCTTTTTAAATACGTCCCACTTAAAAATTTAATAAATCCCAAAGATCTCTCAGTTTAACATGAGACCTACACTTTTCATCGTCATCTACTAGAAGATAGGAATCAGGAACTCACATTATAAAGGTTAAGAGCCCTTTATTTTTATACAAGGTAACCTTCTCAGTACTTTGAAACCTGGGAGAAAAAAGGGTATGACCCAGCCAACACAATGGATATTAGCAGCAGTAAAGCCTTGGAGAGGCAAGAGTAACAATTTGTGTAAGTAGCAGTTGGAAGGGTTACAAATGGCATGGTCACACATATCAGTCCAATAAATGAAAGTTGGTTGGGCAGATGAGCAAACAAACTGAGTTAGGGAGGCAGAAGGAGGAGGTGGCTCTCAGAGCTGGTGCAGTGAGCACTGAGCACTAAGGAGGGAATCCTCTGAGTCAGGTGAAGAATAATGGTCAGTGAGAGTAACATGTTAAATTTCCCTTTCATCGTCTCCCCTCTCCTCAGTCTGCCCTCTCTCCTGCTGTTTCTTAGACACACAAGGGTCACAGATACCACAATAGCAGGCAGCCTGTAGAAGAGTTGAGAAGAGCCTTCAATGAGGATGCTCACAAGTATTATAAATAAGGCAATTGCTTTTCTTTTAAAGAGCTGTCAGAAAAATTAATGAAATGAAAAATTTCAATAGTAATTAGTGATTTTTGTTTCTCAAATTTTGTTGACAATTTTGAAATCCCTTTTATGGGGCCTGCTTTTTGTGTTTGGGTTTGTTTTTAAGGTAAGTCTTTAGTGCAGAATGTTATTCACATAAAATGTTTTAGCTTTCGAATCACTAATCACTTTTGAAAAGACTTAGATATGTTATCCATCTGCAAATGATGCAAATCATTGGTCTTAAAAATGCAATTCTAACAAAAGCAAAGCATAAATTGAGAAAACTTTCTCCCTGTTGGTTTAGAAAACTGTCAACTATTATGTCAACATGTAATACATCACTATGCCAATTTGATTTTTGACACTGCATGCACATGCATCTATATAGTTCTATATGACAAATACATGCTTTAATGAGCAAGTAGCATGGTAATTAGAGGCAGCTAAATGTGGAAAATATGTAAGATGAAAGGAAAGGTTGTATATAAAAATATTGACACATTCAGGTGAATTAGATGTGAAAGAAATGGAAAACTTAATTATGGTGGCTCTAATTCATGCAGTTTCCCATAATACTTAATTCACATTCTTGAATAATGCATCTGAGGTTGCACTTCAGTTTAGACACTTTCTGAATATTAGCTTGGGGTATTGTTGGGGTCTAAACGTGAGTCTGACCTACATAGCCATTTGTCCAAACTCGTTAGGCCTAATATTAATAATTCAGGGCAGATCAGTACATTTCTACAAGGCCAAGGATAATTCATGTAATCCTGCTTTCCTTTTGCAGTTTCTTTGCCATCCCTTTCTCCTTACCCATCCCACTCCCTGAATAACACATAAATGCTGATGGCATATTGTCCAAAGAAATACTTGTGTGGAAATTTTATTCACAGAATGTTAATTTTTTTTAATGTTTTCAATCTCTTTCCTATTCCACTTAACTGTAGTTTTTGCAGCAAGAGGCCAAATATATGTATATATTTGTATAAAATGCTGCCACGTTGGGATGAAATCTCTAAACTGGATGACCTGTTCCTCCTGTTTCTTTCATTTTGTACAACAGCTATGGTCTAATTCTCTATATATTTTTTCCAGTGACAGTGCTTGCTGTGAACGGTGGGGGTTGAACCCCAGAGGGGACAAATCATGTGTACATTGATGTGTTTGAAGGAATTTCTTGTAATCTATGACAATTGACAAACTTTTGATTTATTTTTCCTCTTGCTGCCTTGGAACACGGCCCCTACTATATTTTAACTGCACACTGATAGTGATCTATTGTGAGTAAAAATGGGTTCCCTGTAGCCCAGAGTGCGGTCCAACCTGTCTTTCTCTAGCAGAGAGTATTTTTGTTCAGTATTTTGGTTCTTTTCTTTATTTATGTTGCATGTAGCAGTGACGTCATACCCACAAGTTTCTCATTGTTCCCACCAAAGGAGATTAGGGTGACGTTGAAGAAAATACAGCAGTTTTCCCTTCTTCCACCTATTTGCCCTTTTTTTCTACAAGCTTATTTTTATCCCTAAATGAAAATTAGATCTTGGTAATAGTATTTCCTTGAAATTATTCTAGGGGTATCTTATGAATTTTTAGGTATATTGGTTAGGCTGGTGTAATTGCCACTCTAGCGCTCTTTGCCGGGTTAAATACAATTCATCTGTCAGGTCCCTGTTTAGGTTTTCAGTACTTTGTCATTTCCATTGCACAGCTGGCACAAAGAGTAGCACAGCACTTTTACTGTCCTTACCCAACTTTTTTCTCCCCAATGACAGAAAAAAGTGTTATGGGAGAAAGCCAGACAATTAATTAAAAGTGTGATTTTTTTAATGTATAAACCCAGAGATACCTTCAACAGGAAACAAGCTGCAGTGATTATTTTCCTGAGCTTGCTGGTTTTGACACTACTTACATAAGTAGACACACACTGACTTTCCAGGGCCTTAGTTGCAAAATTTTACAGTATTATTATTTCTAGAATATGAGCTTTATGGACCACTTCATGTCAATCCAGGTCATACCTCCTGAAAGTGTGCAGGATCTTTGAAGGCTCTCATCAGCCACTTTTTGTGTACACTCATGGTAAATACAGCATTTGGGACATGGAAAGAATTTGCTCTTAGAAATACAAGTGCTGCAAAGAAATGCACTGGTTATAGGGCAGTGTTGGGATTATATGGGCTTGTTCTTTCAAAGAGCAAGGGGGATCTCATGGCTGCAGTGCTGCGTTGCTGTGTCAGATTGAGGCTGTAACTTTACTGTGTAACTGCAGCTATTCTAAATAAAGGAGGCCTCAACGTGCAACTTCAACATTTTACCAGATATTCTGAATTTATTGTGTGGAAACACCTCAGGTCTTAATCAGGACTGAGATATTTTCCCCCTCTCAGCTATACACACTGTAGGATCTTGCAAAGAATGAAGGAATAATTTATGCTCTTGATGAAGAAGGCTCTGGCCTTCTTGAAATTATGGTGGCCTGCATCATCATTATTTGCTATTTATTTTATTGTGGAGCCTGAAAACTACACTGAAGGATTGAGATCCTGTTGTGGAAGAAAATATTCAAGGATAGAACAGAAATTTCTTCAAACATCTATTTTTAGCCAATAGAATGACACAGCAAAAAGATGTAGCAGCAGGAAAAAGCAGATTGTGAAACTGGTCAGCGTGATAAGAATCAGCAGTAAAACAAATAAATTCTATAGGTGAAATGGTGAATCCTATTGACTTTGAGGCAAAATACTAGAAGTAATCTGGATTTATCTGAAGCAATGTGTTTATTTAAAATATGTTCTTATGTTGAGACCTTTGTGAACTAAAGAAATTCATTTAAATTGTAATAAATAAGTAAAGCAGTTCTTCATGCTGTGAAAGAGCTAGAGAAAAAAAAGGTCATGTAGTTTTGCTTTCTTTATTTTCCATTTCCCCAATAGCTTAAGTTTGTTTAGAAAAGTAGTTTGCTTTGAGAGTGCACTGGCTGAGAGTCTTCTGTAAGGTAATGAAGGAAAGGTCATGATCAGATTTGAAAATTAAAATTAATTGGTCTATAAATGTGCTATTACATCAAAACTTGAGTCATTCTTATATCTACTAAAATAGGGCAAGATGACCACTCAGATCTCCTGCTGTTTTTTCAGTTTTGACACAGAACAGCACTTTGTGAATTGGAGCAAACAAGTAACCAGTTGTCATTGATGGCAAAAATTGCAAGAGAGCGAGCAAGCTCGCTTGCTAGTCTTAACATTGACTTGGAAAATTTAAATAATGGAGAGATAGATTTTCCTGTTGTGTTAAGGTGAATAAATTCTCTCCAACAGGCTAAGGTACTGCTGTATTTTTCAGGAAACTGAAACTGTGCTGGGGGAAGTCCTGTCTGTGTGTCAGTCTCATGATGCTAAGCAGCATTGCTGGCAGGCGATCACTCCAGCCTGGTCGCCTTTAATGCTGATGATTTTTCACTCACAGTTTGGATCATGAGAACTTGACGAATTGAAATAACAGTGTGCATTTCAATTCTGAAGTGTCTTGGGACCTTTTTGTACCCCGGGGTGGTCAGGAAGGCTCCCGTTCCTGCTCCAGAGCAGCTGCTGCCTGAGAGAGATCCACTAGATGTCCTCGGAGCTCCACCCGGGCTGCGCTGAGGAGCAGCTCCAGCGCAGGGGGCACAGCCCGGGGCTTGCGAAAAATCAGGAGAGAAGAAGGAATACTTTGTTCTGCTTTCTTTAAAGAAAGAAAAAAAATAAAAAAAAAAAAGGAAAAAGATAAAGGAGCTGTTCCTTGACATTTTAGGTAGAGAATAATCTGCAGTTTCCTTTGCTTATTTTTGCAGCTGGAAATATTTCCCATTACTGTTCGTGAACTCTAAGTAACACTTCAGATCCAGACAATCTACACATTTTAACTGTACTTTTTGACTTTTTGAGATCAGAAGTAAGGTCCTGTGAGAAGCTTAGACATCTGGGGAGCTATTCTTTCTTTTATAGAAAGGAAGGCTACTACCTTCTGAGAAAAATTACATCTGGAATTTTCTAGAAGTATTTATTTACTTTCTAAGCAATTGAAAGAAACTTTGCTCTCCTTTTGCTCTTAATGAGTAGTTCATATGTGCCTTGTTTTGTAAATTATTTAGGCAGTCTTAACTTAGTGTCCATAAAAACTTCCCCTGATATTTTTACTGATTAGTTTTACAAATATTGTGTGATTGTCATCATATAAAGTACAAGGATCTGTCTTCTCTTTTTTTTCCCTATTTATTATACAATTGAAAATAGGAAAGTAGTTTCCTTTATGTCCCAACTTTTGTTTTCACCAGTATCAAATTACAATTCTATTCAACATTCATAACACATCTAGGAATAGAAATAATTGATTTTTATGCAGGTCCTACAGGTGTCAAAAAAATTTAACACACACACACAGAGGCTGTTCTTAAGGTCCCCCTGTCTCTCTGATGATTCCCATTTTCTGTTAATGTTTATGGAAGTTTTATAGAAAATAGTATGTGTGTGGCTGAACCATTTAAAATCATTTCTGTGCTGTCTTTGACCTTGTCACTAGTCATCCCTACTAATAATGCGTGTTTTGTTTTATTTGAAATAAGTATTGTATTTGGTGTGAATGTAACTGACTGTATAAAAGGAATGAAGAGTAACAGCATGTTTTCTTTCCAAAAGTTATTGCTCTGATATGCAGTTGCTTATATACTTGTTAAAATCCTTGTGGCAAGTCCTTTCTGCTGCTTATATTTCCAGGTCCAGGCCTGTTTCCTGCATGATAATGATGTGAAATATTCAAGTGATGCATGATCTCCAGAACAACTGACAATAATAGTTAAAAACAGTCCCTGAAGGGTATTGCTTTTGAGAAACGCCATCATGTCCTTCCCCTATTGAAGAGAAGGCCTTAAATTTCCAACTTTATTGGTTTAATTCTGATGAAAATGGTACAAAAAGTTTTCCTTCCTAGCCTTCTTTGCCCTTAAGGATGATTTCTTTTTAATTTCCATAAATTTGTCCTCTCCTGTTATTGACTGTTGACAAGATATGGCCAGAAGTAAATGAAAACCAGGGACTGTTACTAACCAATCATGTAGCAGTTGGGAATTTCTGAGCAGTGTGTTTTGCTAAAGCATTTGATTAGAAAAAGTCCTTCAAAACAGCTATAATTACAGCAAAATGGGCCTGCTTTTTTAACCTCTCCTACTGTCAGTGTGTTGCACAAATACCCTTTATTTTTCTTTAATTTCCTTAAAAAATAAGAAAGTAGGCATACTGGAAAGACTGTTACACTTTTGGTAACCTATTTCACTTTTCTTTTACTGTCCAACTTTTCAACTTTAAAGAATGTGTTGGGAAGAGTTAGAGGGAAAACACGGGAAAATGCTGTTTTGAATTTTCTGTGTAGTTTGAATGTGTATGCATCAAAAGCTGCAGTGGAAACCTTCTTACTAAAAGCCAAGCTCTGAGGAATGATGTACTATGCAATGAACAAGCCTGATGCTGCATGATGAATTTATGAACAGCTGTAAGATAACTCTACTAGGATGCTAAAAGAACATGGCATCAGTCATGTGAGCAAAGTTTTAGAGGAATGGGGTCGCTGCTGAAGAGATCACTCATTCATCTCCCTCAATGCCTGTTTTCACAATCATAATGTTACCCTTGCTTGACAAGTATACTGTATGGCAAGCCATCAAGGCCTTAGAACAGGACTTGACCCATCTGAGTGATTTCAATCCCTCTTTCCTGGTGACTGTGGGATTAAGAAACTGGAAAAAAAAATTCTTTTAAATTTAATGTCATTACCATAAAGCAAAAAAGACATCCTAAACTGAAGATACAGGCCAGAGAAACATTACCTTTTTTCTGCATTTGCTTTTAAGGTTCTGTTTTTGCCTGTCAGTGTTGTTTTGTTTTTAGTATAATTGAGTCAGTTCAATCTAAACCATTACCAAAAGTTGGTTCAGTGCAGCATGTGAAACAATCTAAATGGCCTTTGTATTCCTTGAGACATAAACATGCCTGATTCTGATAACATGCAAAATTCCAGGATGGTAATTATACATGAATTAATAAACAGGATGCTCTATATTTCTAGAAATACATAGCAAGGACATTCAGATGACTGAAAGATAAAGATGTTCTGTCTGACCTGGCACTTGTTTTGGAACTAGCACCTAATTCTAAATTCAGTTATTTTTTTCTTGATTGACTTTTGAATCCAGAGCAGAAGCCATGCCAATGATTGGCTCAGCATGTTTCAGTGGACCAATGCTCTGTGTGCTTTTGGTGATGCCTTATTTGTGAACTGAACTTAATGTTGAGCATATTTACCATTTTTAGTTTTGTCTCCTATATGGGCAAATTTTGGTATTCTATCAAGAGTTAATTTGAATTCCTGAAGATAAAATGTAAGCAAAATTAATTTTTTTGAGAATTTTATTAATATCTTTAACTCTTTAATAATGTATAATTAATTGCAGTAAAGGTGGTCCTTGGCACAGTTTAATACCAAAAAATTATTATAATACATTTAAGAATAAATATATTTATATATATGTGTGTATGTATAATGCATATGTGTGTATGAGTGTGTGTATGTAAGAAAGCATTTGTATGTGTGTTTCTGTGTGTGTATACATACATACATATATTTATATATGAAGAAATCTCTGATTTTTACAGGAAACAGGATAGGCTAAAATACCTAATAGACTATTGACTTTTGTTTTCATTTTAATCCAATGGTATTAATTGTGCCAAGGGAAAAGCATATTCCTCTTATTCTGTGCTTTTACTGTGTTCTATTTTGATCCAAACACTTGACTGTAAACAGTAATTTTTCCCCATGACTGCGGTCACCCTCTAAGACTGAGCAGAAATAAAGAGCAATTAATCTTTTGCCCTACTTTTAATGTACAGCCAAAGTGTTATCAATAATCTCATTGCATTTTTTTTTCCTGGGTCAAGACTGTTAACATTAACTAAGGCCTGTATTAAATCCCTTAAATTACCTTCCAGCTGCCTTGTTATATCTATAACCTTGCCATTAACCTGCTGCTCTTCCTCTCCTCCCATCCAACACATGGTTATAGCCAAGATGTCCATCTACAAGAGAATGAGACTGGCATGTTGTTTTGATTGCGGACGCTCTGAGCGTGACTGCTCTTGCATGTCAGGCAGTGTACATAGTAACATGGACACCCTTGAGAGAGCCTTCCCACTTTCTTCTGTCTCTGTTAATGATTGCTCCACCAGTTTACGTGCCTGTAAGTTTTAACACCAACACATGCTGTTCCATGTTTGTGGTGTCTGTGGTATCATCCCTGTCTTGTGTCGTGCATTGTAGTTCTGTGAGTTTTTACTGGGCTGATGCTTTTTCAAAAAATCAACCCCAAATTTGATCACAGCTCTGTATTTATATTTCTGTTTTTATTTTTAATGCAAAAAATGTAAATCATTATTTTGCTTTATGTGCTCTTTATGAAGCATCCTCTTGCAATAGCCTTCAGGACCTTGGTAGTGCAGTATGGTGACATCTTTTCTCTTTAATTCATACAATACAAATTGTCATTAATTAAGCAATAAGTGCTTTGGTGGAGGACCAGACCTTTGTCTAAATCTTTGACTGGTGCCAAGTGGGTACCTCTAATAATACTGGCACTAGAGCATCATACAATGGGCAGTGAATAAATATACAGGATACGACATAGTAGATGGAATTCTATTCTATGCCGCTACTTTTGCCTTTAGTTTTGTTTGTAACTTCATTCTCAGTAAAAAAAGATCTTCCATCTAATACAGAAGCCGCAGAAATGTTTGTACTTTTTGTAAAATCGGTTATTCTTTTTGTAGCGCCTTTTTAGAAAAACTAGGCTGGTGCAAATCCCTGGTACAAATGTTTTGAAATTAAATGTGGAGTCTGTTCCATAGGACAGTAACATTCTGGAATGTGGCCTGAAAGCTCTTTTGAAAGATCAGAGTTGAGAGGGAAAAGACAGAGAAGCTAGAACAATTCTGCATGGCCATTAATTATTCGGACAAGCTGTAGGGATTCCAAAGCTTGGATTATCAGTGCGATGTCATCAACTGAAGAAGATTGTTAAATGGGTTTTTTGTGTGTTTGTTTGTTTCATTTTCTTGTCCTCTCTAGTCATTCTTAACAGGCAAAATTATATCTTGGGACAGGAGCTGTTTTCCTTTCCCTACCCAAATGGCAAAGGAAAGCTATAAACTTATTCAGCTACAGCTATGAGAATAGATTGAAATTTTGGTCAGGAAGCATGTCCATTTTCCAAGGCAAGTCATTTTGGACAGAAGTGCCTTCTGCTATGAAGACTAATGTAGATTTTAGATTATGCACCTGGTTGTCTTTTGGTACCATATTGCAGTATGTAGCCCAAGTGGTGAATGATTTTGCTTTAACTATTTTGACTTATGAACTATTTTTCCAGTCACAAATATAAAAATTCTATAATTGTTACATTTCTTTTGTCTGAAGACCATATTAATTAAAAATATTCTCATAGGATTTCTTGGAGATTTTACCAAAAATAATCTCTCTCTGTGTATAAGCACTCTGAACATCCTAGCAATCTACTTGCTTGCAACTCATGTATCACCATAAGGTGGATGGTTCCTAGTTTTATGTCTTGTTGTAAATCACAGGACTTAAAAATAGGATAAACACAGTTTTATCCTTTAATGAGAAACTTATCAGGGTAAAATGTAGTAAAGCATACTTTGTTAAGAAAAGCAAACAAGAAACGTTCCTGTATTGAGAATTGCTGCAGGCAGTTTTTTGTACAGTGTAACAGCCTCAGTAACACCGTGCCTAGTAGAGTTTGTAGGGTACAGACTGGTACAGAGAGTTTGTGGCTGGGCCCTGGCACTGGTGTTAACAGCAACCAGATTAGGATAAATTAATATGTCCCCTGCAAGTGGGTAAAATTTCTGCCATTAGCACTGTTTGGCAAGGAAAGAAAAACTAATTTGTAGGTTTACCATAGCTTTCAAGTCCACTTAGGACTCTACAGAGGCAGATAAAGTAAACATTTTTGATTGTGTTGCCTGCTGAGCCAAAACCCTCCACAATAATGGTATTATTTCCAACAAAAGCCAGAGCTTTTTGGGAAACATGTTAGAGCTATGTTATATTTTGAAGGATAAGTGATATTGACAGCTTTGAGGATTTTTAGCATTGTATCCTTCGTGGGCCTTTTCCCCCCTTCATCACTCCCTCAAATCAAAAGAGATCTCAGTCTTCCCCTTGTGAGGCGAGTCACCTTTGACTGTTAATAATAAGTACGAAAATCAATACCAATTCACACGCTTTGCAAAGCAGCATAAGCCTTTCTTTTCCAATTAAAATATATATATGCACGCAACATTGCACTGGCAGGGCTTCAATAGAAATCAGTGTGTTTTCTTTGCAGCGCACAGGGGTCGGATGATGCCCATCTTGACAGAGCTAGTTAGCTCAGAGAATGGTGGGGAGAGTCAGCTTTTCATTAAATATGAGCAGATGTGAAATGTAGAGTGTTTGACAATTAGAAATGGCAGCAGCAGGACCCCAGAATCAAAGTGAGGTCAGATTGGTGGATCAGATTACCTCTCTTACATTCTTTAGTTGTTCTGAAAATCATTTTAAATTAGTGTCAGTGGAGCCATGATGGGTTTTGCCCTTTGTCTTTTATGGTACGACTGTATTGTTTCCCCAGACACTCATTAAAGGTCATTATACTATTACAGGGCTTGCTTTGGTCGTGGTGCCCCAGTTGAGTTGGTCTGCTTCCACAATTGCTTAATGTACTTCTTTCTTTCCTTTTTTTTTTTTTTTTTTTAACTTTTGATTATAAAAGCGGGCTTTTTCCCAAGGTAAATAAAATCACAGACCATTGTATGGAGCTTCTTGAAACAATGTGTACGTTTTGTAAGAATTAGTGCTGTTTCTAAAAATTGCATGTTGAGTAGAAGATGTCAATTTACATATTTGGTGGTGTACACAGGATTTAATCTTCTAATTGCATAATCTGCAGAGAAAGTAACACTTGCAGTGTATTTTCCACTGTGAATGAGTGTATCTGTTATTATAATGTTTCTACTTTCAGGAAATGAAAATTGGTATTATGATTAGGTATAATTACATTAAAAGAGCTTTTGAGTTTATAGGCTGTTTTCTGGAAAAATATACTGATAGTTTTTCTAAATGTAAGGAAAGAGAATTTTAAGTCTTTTTTTTTTGGTATCTACCATTTTACAAGTTTAGCTGTACTTGGTAGATTGCTACATGAATAGCAAATGAGCAAATGGTCCAACTACTTCTTGCATTGGAGACTCAAGTCAGAGTGAAGAGAAGCACTTAGCCACTGAAAAACCTGGGGTGGTTTATGCATTGAAATTATGTTATTAGCAAGTGTGATGTTTCTACTTAGGTCTGTGCCAAGTCTTGGGGGGTGCCATTCAAATGATTAATTGATACAGACAGAATCTTAACCTGAACCATTTATTTTCTGTGTTTCTCCATCACCATATGGCTGTGCTTCTCAGGAACATGAAAAGTTCATGTTCCTAAAGGAAACCTTTCCTAAAGTTGTTGCTGCACCCACTGCCATGGGAAACTAAATTTTCAAGGATATTCTTGATATTAGGCCCAGACATATCTAATTAAACTTGTAAGAAAATGTGCTTTGGTATGCTCTGGTAGTTCTGAGAAGCTTTATGGGAAGACTTTTGCTTTGGTGAATATAAAGGATATCTGGAGACAAAAGAAAAGAATAGTTATTGCTACATTTTGAATTTAGGGTTCAGCCCAGACTCTTAGATATGTAACATGGAAAGACCTTGCTTAGAAAAGTTGGAAAAAGTGTAACTTTTGAAAGAAGCAAAGCATGTATCTACCTCTGTGCCAGACCAAGTTTAAAGCCATATATTCCATATAATCTTCTAGTGTCAGCACATGTTTTATTCTGTACAAACTAGTTAGCTGCTGAATCTTTCTCAAAGGACCAAAAATCACGTTCTCCAAGGTTAGGTGAACATTTTGGGTACCAAGGTTGGTAAACTACTGAAACTATAACTGATGATGGGACGGACCGTAGCAAGTTAGGTCAAGAAAAGCTCCAGTTTCGTCATTGACCATTTACTTCAGACCCTGCCTGTGTGTCTTTACAACTGAAAAAGCCAAATTCTATACTGAGAGTTGAAATTATGTAGAACTCACTGATTTATCCAGGGAGATGGATGTATAACAGATATTGATCAGTGTATCTAAAACTCATCAGTTGTATAAATATGCTTGGGCTTTTCTAAACGGGTTGACAATTATTAAGTCCCAGGTTCTTGAAATACTGGCTGAAAAGCCAGCATATTCTATTTCTCCTAGAATGTGAGAGAGCATCCTCTAATTTCTACAGAGGATGTGTCCTCTGCGTTTCTAACCTATTACTTCTCTAGTCCTGCTGTAGTAGCCAAGAGAAGTCAAGCAGCTGCCATGCATGAGCTGAGCTGCAGGAAGGACAGGTATGTGACCTCTCAGGAGACACCTTTCAGTGCTAGAATTTTCCGTTCACCCTTTAGAAACAATGGGTTGGTTTCTATTCACAGGATGTATGTACCACCTTGTGGTAGCTAGAGACTATGAGATGCTCATCCAGCTCTGAATGTCATCACATTTACATTGCATTTATAATGCTCTGATTATGACAGGGTGGGGTAGTACCACTGCTCTCTCCCTCTACACACATTTTCTGAGCTGTGAGACTTCTGCAGTGGCCACAGGAGGGAAGTGGGTCTGTTTGCTTGGAAATCTTACTTTTGCATATGCTGCATAAATCCTTTCTCTTTATACAACCTACTGAACTCTGTGTGGTCACACTGTCTCATCTTTGTCCAGCACAAAACCCCAATAATATGCTTTTAATGTTTTGAGGAAGAAGAAGAGATTGAGGGAATAAATAGGCAACTGGGTCTTGGAAATAAAAACAATTGGGAAAGACAGATGCTATCAAGACTTTCTGAATGGCATAAGGTCCTAAACAAATGATTATAAACGGATTGTTGTGGTTTTTACAGCTTACTTCTATGGAATGACCCCATCTCTGTGTGCTGGACAATTGTTGTATGGGCTATTTTTTTTGTGAAATTAATGAAAACGGAACATTAGAATGAGACATAGTGCCAGATAAATTCTTGGTAATTCAAAGGCAGAGAGAATATAAATAATAACCCCAAGAAAGGAACTGTGTGTGAAATACCGATTTATGTAAAA